ATATATATATATATATATATATATATATATATATATATATATATATATTAGCAAAGATGTTATATAAAAATATAAGCTAATATATATATATTAGCAAATCTTTTAGCTATCACAACTAAATAACTTTGCTATGAAAGCAACAAAATTTGCTCCTGCAGTTAATATTTTTAGTTGTCCATATATTAGCAAATCTTTTTTTTCTGTGTACGTATAACACGACGATATTGTTTGCACGATGGATTTCTATGCCATACCTCGCCGCCGCTACGTTGACAAGAGAAATTGTCACATTGGCAGTACTTGCCGTAGAACAATTCCTTTGGTTTCGGTCGTCTTTCGCAGTCGCACACGCCACATTTGCACGTGCCGTGGCCGCTGCAGATCTCGTCGGTTTGGTTGTTGGGTTTGCAGTCGACGGTCGAGATCGCGTTGCTACCACGAACCTCGTTTACCTTGCACTCGCACTTCTTCCCGTAAAAGTCGGGATTGCAGAAACACACGCCGCACACCGAGGTGCCGTTACCCTTGCACTGCGTGGCGTTCGGCTGATATCCCTGTTTCATAAACAGCCGTTTGAGATTGTCGGTGGGAAGCGCGTTGAGAAATCACGCAGATTCCACAAATTTTCATTGATTTACTAATCAAACTGAAATTAATATTTAATTTAATATCAGTGTTTTTCTTAAATCGAGTGAGATTTGTATATTTTTTAAATAAATATATATTAAGATATATATATTTTTTTAAATTAATTTCTCGCTCAATCACTTTTAGCTATTTTGATATCAGTTTATTAAGTACCGAGTTCCCAGGTCTCTCACAAGGGCAGTCGCATATGATCTCTACGTCGATAGTCAGAGTCTCATTTAAGTCTCTGGGTTTGATATGTACAGTTTGTTTCCAATCCTTCGGATTCGCAGGGCACTCCGTGACCTGACATATTCGAAATACAATGAGCCGTCGCCGATAAGCTGCAGTATTTGTCAACCTATTTTATCAGTATTTTACACACCTTAAGCACAATCTCAAATTCAATGTCGTTATGTACGCGAAGTCCTTCGCATTCGTGACGTTCCAGTAAATCTCCAGTCTTGTTTAAACACCTCGAGAAATATTTGATATCGATCATCTTCGGCGCGGTGTCGACCAGCGTTACCGTGTCCACTAATTTCTAGAAATTGCCAGCATATTCAATATAAGATAAACTAAAATTATCATTGAGCGTTCTGTTAATTTATTTGGCCGATGCCGTAAACACAAATGACTCCATACCGTTGTTACAAAAGACTTATACTAAGATAGAATAATGACGTATTTAAATTAATAATTATGTGTAAACATTTTTCTTTTATTTCTTTTTTATTTAAATGTAATTTTATCTATTTATAGTACTCTCTATAAGTTTGAAAACGCAGATAAAAATAAGGATATTAAAATGGATATTTTATAATAATTCTGTTTCATACTTCCTTTTAGAAAATTTGTGTCATTTGATAAAGCGAAGTTTCAAGTTTAGGAACCCATTTTCTATATTGCTATGCGATGAAGTTTAATGGACTCACGAATAACCGAAGTCAAAATGCTCAATTTTATTTTAATCCCTAGTAATACGAAAACACAAAATTGTTGAGAAATTTTTTCATAAAGTAAATTGTATAGAAAACTTCAATCTTTTACACGGAAGAAACTAAAAATTTTGTCAAATTTTTCTTGCGTTCATAGCGTGTCTCAAATTGAGAAAAAAATTTTTTTATTTTGTCTATTTCGTTTTCACAAAGGCCAGATTATATTAGCGATTGGCGATCGGCGATTGAAGATTGGAACTGGACCAATTGGAACAAAGCAAACCAAGCCCGAAGCCCGTTGATTCGTCAAAATTTAATCTTCGATCGTCAATCGCCAATCACTAGTTTAATGTGGTCTTTATGAAAACGAAATGAACAAAATGGAAAACTTTCTTTTTAATTTGAGACATAAACGCAAGAAAAAATCTGAAAAAAAATTTTAATTTTTCCGTGTAAAAAATTGAAGTTTTCTATACAATTTACATTATGAAAAAATTTCTTTACAATTTTGTTTCCGTATTACTAAGGGTTAAAGTAAAATTTTTCTTCGGTTGCTTACGACACCATTAAACTTCATTACACAGTAATATAGAAAGTGGATTCTTAAACTTGAAACTTCGCTCTATCAAATGATATAAATGCCGATTTTGTAAAGATAAGTGTACAATAGAATTATAATAAAATATCTATTTTAATATCTTTATTTTTACCTATGTTTCCAAACTTATAGAGAGTACTGTATATGTAATGTTTTTATTTATAAATAATATATTTTCATGTAAGTACCTCGTATTCTTTGCTCACTAAAGCAATGACATTCTCCGAATTGTCCTTGAGAATTCCGGTTGAGGATCCACTGATTTTGCGACTCAATTCCGAATAGGTAATATTCCTAATATGAGGCACTGCGAAGATGATGTTCATGTTGTGCTCACGTGCCTTCCGATTGATCTGAGAAACAGATATACGCAGTTTTCCCAAATTAGGCGACTAAGCTGCGTTAAAGAAAGGAGATTTCCTTTACCTGAGAAATCGATGGGTAATCCTGCTCGAGGAAGTAATTGTAGGCTCCTCTGTCGTCCAAATGACACTTGCAATCGTTGGGCTCGACCACCCCTGCAAGCTGCGAAACCGTGTTAACTAGAAGCTTTTTGTCATTTTTATCTAGAAGCTGCGGCTCGCTCCCATTTGCATTAACATCGCGACGAATTGTCTCGTCGCGTTATCGTTGCAGCATCGATCTGATTTTGCGCGATCCACCCCAATAATACATACTTTACCGTCACCGGCGATATGGGACGGCGCGTCGGTCGAGAACACGATGAGATGACGTGCCTTTTGGCGCCAGCCGATTTTTGTGGTGCATACTATGACCTGCATCATAGCATCTAGTCCGCCTTCGGGTCTGTCCAGATTGCCGGAGACTGGCGCTCTTTGTACCTGGCTCTACGATTTTTCTTTTTTATTTAATAATTCCACGTATATTTTATAAAATTACACGTAATATTTAAAACACGCAGAATTAACTGCCTGATATTTTGTCATGATTCTGAACTGAAATGTATTCTCGAAATTTCCTAGAATAAAATCTCACTCGAAGTGACAATGAAAATGTTGCCACTCGGAATTAAAAGAGTGAATATATATCTCAAGCTGTAGAGTAGATTTTCAACACGAGCGAATATCTTAGCCGATTAAAGTAAATTAATTCCTGCGACAATAAAGTGGAGCACACTAGAATACACTGTTGAATTTTGAATGAAAATACTCACTCGATTTTAGATGAAAGAATTCAATCTTTGTGTATATTAGTGCTTATTGTCTATAGTTGCTACTCAATGTTATGTGCTGTGAGTTTTAAATAAATTATTTATGTCACATTTATTCATAAGAAATATATGAAATTGTAAGTTAAAATAATATTTTGTCATAAGATTAACCAAAATGTATTGAAATATGTAAAAAATATGTATAAATACATATAAGTGATAATAGATTTTCGCAAATATCTTCAAGTTTTTTTATTTATATTGAAACAGCTTTATATTTATATGTGTACGATGATAATTACCTCAAATTCCATTACTTTCTCTGTGAGACGCAACTGATTGATGTAACTGTAAGGCGGTGCGCACGGTTGTTTTCTGTTGTCCAAATAGCAAGGTTCTCTTAGTCTAGCACAAAAGATATAGTCAATCTATGAACTCAAAACTTATCAACGTGATTTCTTGTTTCATTATGAAAATCTCGACAAGTCTCTAGTCACTTTTTTAATTTTACCGATCAGACGATACTTTTTATAACTATCCACACGAATAATATAATTACTTTTCAGGCTGTGTATTAGTCATCGGAAGAGTGACTTTGTCCACGAAGCTGCCAAAGCCGATGCGGAAATTCGACGTGAGGTTTTGCATAGCTTTCGCTAGCTGCAGGCCGAGCTTCGACAACTGTTCCCGATACGGCTCCATGGATGCAGATAGATCCATGAGGTAATAAAGATCCACGGGGTAATCTTCAATCTGTCTGTATTTCATAATCACGCGTTGTTCCTCACCTATTAATATAATTATTTTTTAATTGCAATTTCCATAACTATGCGTTTCGATCGCAGATGATAAGATCTCACCTCGCCTAAGATGCAAGCGTATTTTTTGAGGTTGCACCTGAACTTCACTACCTTTGATTGAGGATAAAGATCGATTTTCTTCCACAGTCATACTATTATTGTAATATACGACATCCGATTCTGAACACCAGAAATGATTTCTTCTCAAAAACGATTCTCTGGACACGCATCGCAGCGGAGGAGCATTCTCGTTCTGTCCGAACATTTTATAGAGTGAATCCAAACGAAAATCGATCGTTAGTTATTGCGGCGTAAAATGTTTAAATTAAAGATCTAAGTAACGGTACCGGATTAGTAAAAATTTAATTTGATTTTTAATAGATGATGTCGCATATATGTAAATCTCAGACTTGTTGCGGCAACCGAGTGTTAAGTTAATTAACAGTCAAAACTGCCTTTATTTATTTTGGAGGAAATACAAAAACAGACATATGATTTAATTGTTAGTTCGCTCACCGTTTGGTTAGTGTAACCGAGCTTTAGAGAAAAACCAGATGGATTGGTTTTTCTTTTTATAAATTAATCAATCAATCAATTTATTCTTATTTCAGCACAAGTCAAGAACTAGGGACTTGGTTTACAACTCCTGCCTTATCTCACACATTCATCTCACACATACATCCATTCCATCGCTCGCCTCTATCTAACTCAATCTGATTTCTTCTATGTCTATCTAATTCTAACTTTATACATTATATCTCTTCGTTATTATATTATACTTTCCATTTCTTTATCCTTTCTCCGTTTCTCTTCCCTTAATTTTTTTATAAATTACTCAATTTTGTGAAAAAAATTTATAGGAAGTGGAATTGATCTCAATTTGACTTTCTGAGAGGCACATGTAATACAAAGCAATAATACTGATAATGTCTATTAATCTGTCATATATAATGTCTGGCAATTATTATACAGTGATGAAAGATCACAGATAACTATAGTGAGTAGCTCGTACGCGTCACGCAATCGCATGAGTTCACTCGACATGTTAGTCACCTCAGCAATGACACCGCATACACCGACGACGACGACGAGTTCGAATAGAGATCCTAAAAGTAGAGTAGAGGACAACACCGACTAAAACTCTGTGATTGGCTCCGCCATGATGGAGCGAAAGCGGATGTGAGAGAGACGAAAAGAAGAGAGAAGTCTTCGTATACGCACACGTGACAGCTGAGACTGTGCGTCTGTGATGATACGTGTGTATCAGTGTTTGTTGTCTAACTATAATTGCTATTCAACGTTATGTACTGTGAGTTGTAAGTAAATAATTTATTTACATTTATTCATAAGAAGTGCATGAAGTTGTAAGTTAAAATAATATTTCTTCATAAGATTAATCAAATTAATTACTTAATATTACTTCAAGATACTCCTTGACCAATAATCGGAATCCATCTAATATATATTGTATAATTCTTCAATTAAAGTGAAATTTAATAAGAATAATTGTAACATAATAATTAATTGAAGAAAATAATAAAAATTATTTATATCACTATAAACTCATTATGTCAGTGTACGTAATTATTTTTCAGAAATCAACATTTTATTATAATCGTATTTTTTTATAATGTACAAAGTAATATGTTATAGCGATATTATTATATTGGCGCGCACTTTTAAAATTTGTATGTCATTTCCGATTTCGCTCCCCATCATGGCAAAGGGGCGGAACCTTCTATTCTCAACATTGTCCGATTTTTGCTTTTAGGATCTCTAGGTTCAAAAGGGTATAATCCAGGCAGGTGCGCACTTTCGGATCTTATATACGTTCTCGTCATCCTATACATTCTCGTCATTTCGCGAGCTCGTTAACGCGCGGCGCTTATAAATATTCAATACCGTCGTGGAGCACCAGGCGCATTGCGGCGTTTGCAGGCACCTCTGGCAGGTCTGTTGGGACTCGCAGAGTCTCTCGTGGTCCTTGTACTGCGAATGAACAAACACGAAGAGTCGCGTCGCCAAGAAGAAGAGGACGGTAGTCGTCATCCATCGACGTGTCATCGTTTCACTCGTAAAGCCGATGTACTTTTGACAAATCACGCGGCCGAGGCAGTTACGCGCGGCACAAACACTCGCGATTCGAAAGGATACTGCGGTATCCCGCGGAAGCAACTCCGAGATAAAATAACACGCCGCGGTGCGTCATTAAGTAAGCGTTCGTGCTCTTTTCCTCAAACGGCGATTATTTTTGCCGGCCTTGGCGACCGACATGATCGAATTACGTCCAAGACGCGGCGATATCGAGACCAATTTCGCTGTAAAATTGATTACAAATTACAAAATCAGGAAGCTTATTACGGTTCTGTATGAAAAGTAAAAATGCGAAAAGTGAGTGGATTCACTAGATGTTGATCAATAAAATTATAAATTTTAGTAATTTCACTCGCATTTTCACTTCTCACATAGAACCGTAATAAGTTCCCTGAGCAGTAAATATTAAAAATTATATGGATTATGTGAATCCTAATGCAATTCCTTTTTATTTAACGTTGAAGCGAAAAATATCCTTTAGAATTTGATCATTCACAATGGATGAACGAAATAGTATGTAATAATATCATAGTAATGAACAATATTATCGTTGTAAATGTAATATTCTTGACAAGTAGAGACTTCAAACTTTTAAATGCTTTTTGAACTATCTCGTTAGTATTATTTTTATCTATATTCCATGTAATAAAATTTACAGCTGAGTCACACATACTATTCAAGAAATAAAAGAAGTGTCTGATTCACATTGAACTGTACTACGATCGATTTTGATTGCGATCTCAACAAGTATGGTGGCGGCTCGTAGCGGAAACTTTTAAACTAAAAGACGATGTCGCAACTAGAAATAATAGGTTTAATAATTATTTAAATCTCTTATTTGTTAGCAAAAATCAGGAATGTCTAAATAAACAAATCCGCTAGTTTTAATACAAAATAAGAGATGTGTAGATTGTCAGACCCGTTATTCTTACTGATAAATAAGGAGTCTAAAACTTTAAGGTGATTTACATGAGTTCCAAAGTCGGTCGCAAACATGGACGTAGTATACATGGCCCCCGCATACGGCCAGAAAAGTGAACCCAACATGTAGAAAGAGACCATAGATATAATATACATATAGCATGTTCGACTGGCTCTGGGTTAACCCACTCTAGGTTATTTAGCTTACGTTTATTTCGAACAAGTGCTTATAAGCTTTATGATTGGCTAGTAGAGACTTATGACGTCATTAATTGCTCTCGGAGCGATTAACCCAGGACTAGTCGAGCACGCTAATAGACTCCGCATACAGTCAGAAAAGAGAAGCCAATGGATGCTTCCGAAATGTCCAGAGTTGGGTCAAGTTGAGTTATAGCGTGTTCGACTGGCCTTGAGTAAATCGCTCCGAGAGCGATTAATGACGTCATAAGTCTGTACTAGCCAATCATAAAGCTTATAAGTAGTTGTTCGACCAATAAACGTAGGCTGAATAACCCAGAGTGGGTTAACCCAGAGCCAGTCGAACATGCTATTAGTTCCACTATAGTATCCGTTACATATTCTATAGTGGAACGAATTCAACTCGACCCAACTCTGAGTATTTCGGAAGCACCTATAACGTATAGCCTTTCTGTTCTCTGTCTCTTTCTGCACAGACAAAGGGTGCTTCCGAAATACCCAGAGTTGGGTCGAGTTGAGTTAGTTCCACTATAGTATATGTAACGGATACTATAGTGGAACTAACTCAACTTGACCCGAACCTGGACATTTCGGAAGCACCCAAAGTGTGCAATAAGATTTAAGTAATGGTTTTTGCACACAGGACGCGGTAATGCTTGCCGCGCGGTAGAAGTCCGCACGACAGCCAATCAATATGCTGCTTTCCGTAATAACCTTCTAGCTCTTATGGAAAAACAACATATTGATTATTGGCTGTCGCGCGAACTTTTGCCGTGCGACAAGCATTACCGCGTCCTGTGTGCAGGAGCCATTACTTGCCAGTCTAGTCGAGATGCTATTGCGCTTTATAATATTATGGAAACGAGAAATGGATGCACGACAAAAAAGTGACAAAATAAGAAGAAAACTATAGCCCCTCTATTCTCACTCTCTTTCTAGATGTTGGCTTCACTCCATTAGGCTGCGTTCAGATTCTCCACCCGGGTGTATTCTATTACTAGAAGTGCTATAGTATATGTCACATATATTATAATGTTTCTAGTAATAGAGTGCACTCGGATGAGGAATCTGAACGCACCCTTAGATGACAGAACATAGGTATGTATACTATGATCAGTATGTATACTATGATCAGAGTCCATGTATATTATGTGGGCGAGTTTTTTAATTCATCGATGGATTAAAAACTTGATCTATGTCCATGGTCGCAAATAATATTGACGCTTCTGATTGGTTGTCGCGACAAATGTTGCGTTTGCTTGCGATTGACTATGCGCTCATGTAAACGTTTTTTAGACCTGCTATTTGCCAACAAAATAACGGGTCCAGTTATTAATAGTAATACACAACTTGTACAGTTGTGACATAACTTTTTGTGCGGCATGAAATACCGGTAATTAGAGCGAGAATTATTAAATCGATTTTATACGATCATATAAACGTAGCTACGGACATTACATCGACCATTCCTAGACTCTCGTGTAAACGTAGTCGTAATCTGTCGTCACGAGTCGTACGTGACGTAGGGGTGGATGTTCTCGACTGAATCCATTTTCAATACGTTTGACAGATGACGGGCCGCCAGTGTTTGGCAATTTCGACAAAGTGAAAATTGTACAAGCAGGACCATATGGAAGCGGTACCGAGATTACCAATGATATGGTTCCATTTAAAGGTTAGTCCGGAGCCCACTGCCTTCGGACCAAAACTGAAACAGGTACGAATTCCCACGAATTTATTATCCGACTGTACAATCAATTAGTCAGCTTCTGATAACAACTTGTAATTGTCATTTAGTACAGTGAATCTCAACGTTTATTCCCGTTGTGTGTGTATCCTTTCCTTCTTTCCCCTTTTAGTACATACGAGATTTTTACAATGAGGACGCCGAGTCGTACACGAACGAAATACATCAATTGGAGAGTCTACGTTCGATGGCGGTTAGACCACCCATTGATATGGCTGGTTGTGTGCTCCTGAAAAAATATTATTGTCAGTTGCACTTTCTTCAAAGTAGATTTCCCATGGGCAAGGATGGTGTTGCTGCAGTCACATTTACTTGGTACACTGTGTTATTTTTTTATATTGCGACATTAATTATACATGTCGCACTATTATGCTTTCTCAGAATCTTATTGAATTACACTATTTTGTACACTAAACATTGTACATACCTTAACATTATGTTTAGAATTGTATAATTTTCAGCATTGCACATGTACGCATAAGTTGAAAATTATGAAAAATTTTAGTAAATAATTTAGTCAAGACATATATAATGTCTCATTTGTAACTTGTCTCATTGATATTTTTCTAGGAGAGACACATATGCAAATATGGTCTGTTCATTGGCTAACATCCGTTTTGAAATAATATCTATTTTGTACAATATTGGCGCAATACATACCCAATTGGGTGCGCGTAGTGAAAGAATCAGTGCTGATGGCATGAAGATAGCATGTACTCATTTCCAATGTGCAGCATGGGCTTTTGAACATTTGAAGAACAGTTACCCACAACCGTCTGGTGTGGATCTAGCGCCAGAGTTAATGACTTTCATGCATCAGCTTTGCTTGGCTCAAGCTCAAGAATGCATACTGGAAAAGAGCATGTTGGATAATCGTAAGCCGACAATAGTTGGTACGTGTCAACTCAGTTAATTTAATGATATTAATATTGTTTAACTTGATTTGTCACTACATAAGATATATATATTATGTAGCAAAAGTTGCAAGACAGGTAGTGGATTACTTCACTCTGGCGCTAAACACATTGGAGCAAGGCGGAGGTGAAGATGGAACTATATCTGATACTGTGGGTACCAAATTTTACAAGGTATTGAATTGTAATATTTTCTTACATCCATTTATTTTCGAGAAATTATTTTTGAGATATACTAGTGTATTTTGCAGTAAAATTGTAAGTCAAATACAATGGATACATTAATAATTATAAATAATAATTATAAAATATTTGCAGAGCTGGAAATATTATGTCAACTTTAAAAAGGCATACCACTTGTCAGTTACATATCTTTATCAAGGCCTTGCTGCTGAAGAACAAAGAAAAATGGGAGAACGAGTAGCTTTTTATAATGTCGCGTTAGCATCCCTCAATGAAGCGCATGGAATTTATTCAAATGCTAAAGGGTTGATTGGTATGACTAGCACTTCAAAGGGAAAAACCATGGTAGAAGAAGCACTCACGTTTACTAACGACGTGATAGAAGGCAAGAGAAAAGCTGCCAAAAACGAAAATGAGTTCATCTATCATGAGGAAGTGCCAGAAAAGGAAATGCTTCCATCTGTGAAAGGAGCTTCTCTAGTTAAAGGTGTGTCGTTTAATATAAATGATTCAGAAGTCTCAGGACCAGATATATTTGCGAGGTAATTATATCTTAGGTACTACAATTTAATATTTATTTAATTTTATTGAGCACACTTCTCATATTTAGAGATATATAAAATCAACAGATTTTCTTTTTCTTTTTTCCCTTTTAAGTTATTTAATGAAGTATCTTTTGAATTACGTTCATGTATATTTTTTTCTTTTACTTCTGCTCATAAAATAATTTCATATTTTAATTATTTAACTTAAAAAAACACCCTATATAATAATTTTTGCACATTACTTTGCAGATTAGTTCCTATGAAAGTGCACGAAGCTAGTTCCCTTTATTCAGAAGAGAAGGCCAAAATACTACGTTCCGTTGGAGCTAAAATCGAGGAGAAAGATCAGTATCTCAACACTTACTTGACTTCCTTAAAATTAGAACATATGAACTTATGGGACCCTGACACACAAACATCAGATTGGGAGTGTTTACCTCTCCCCGAAGAACTAGTCGAACGATGCGCCGCACTTAATGCCAAACAGAACGTCATTCAGGATCTAATAGATATTATGGAGAAGCTTTCTGATACAAGTCAAGACGTTGAAAAAGTATCAAAAGAGATATCGAAGCTTCTATTGGACGAGGAATTGAAGTATGTAGTCACATTTCTTCTCTCTGCTTTGTTTATGAGATTTAAACGCTTTTTTACAATATCAACGTAATAATAATTAAGAAATATTGCTAATGATCTTGATCTTTCATAGAGAAAAGCAATATCAGGAGGCAGTAGGTAAGAGGCCACCATCCATAGTAGCGACAGATTTAACTAGAGAGGCCAAGAAGTACGAAGAAGCGCATAACAAAGCCTCTGAGAGCAACCAAGCTCTTCACAAAGCGATAACAATGCACGTGAAGAACTTGAAAATCCTCGCGCAACCATTAGCTGATCTAATGGCACATATCCCTTCGCCAAATGCATATTTGTCCGGTAACTTTTATATCTATAATTATTCAACAGTATTATGCGTGTTTGTGCATATATTATTAATATATCATAAAATAATAATTAACCAACTTATACAAATTTTATACTTAAAAAACTACAAATTTAATCTATAAATTTATTATTATGATTTAGATCAAAGTTCTGAGAAATCGCAAAACTCAAAGGAGATAGAAAAGATGCATACTAAAGAACTGAAACGTATATTAAATAAAGTGGACGAAATGCGAATGCAAAGGCATGATTTGCACACTAAATTACGAGATTCAATTGCACAGGACGACCTGACGCGCTTACTAGTCACAGCGACTTCTGAATCCGGTCCCCTAGATCGTTTATTTGCGGATCAGCTTAGCAAACATCAGAGTCTGGTAAGTGAAGTTACCAAAACATTCCCTACTTTCTTTTTCACTTACGTAAAGATTGGATGAAGCTAACATCGGATATATCTTAATTACAGGTAAATTTAATAGAACAAAATCTTGCTGCACAAGATAACATACTGGCAGCTCTAACCGACGTGTACGCACAGACTGCAAACGTACGCAAGAACGTTGAGGAAATGCTGAAACGTCGAGAGATCACGATATCCTCCTTGATCACGTCTTATGACGCGTACGAGGATTTATTGGCGAAATCGAGTAAGGGCTTGGAATTTTACAGAAAGCTAGAAATCAATGTTTCGAAGCTGCTGCAACGAGTCAAGAGTACATGCAAGGTGCAAGAGGAGGAACGGGAGCAGATACTCGCGCAAGACAGCAAGAATACGTACGAGAAGACTGAGTCAACGACACCGTCGACTTATGATCAAGGACGACCTCCTCGATCAAACGGCCTGAAACTGAAAGATTATCTGAACAATAGAATCGAAAGCGGTACTGGTTATCAAAATCCTTATTACAATTTACAATACAAAGGACACGTCACGGCAATGCAAATGCCGGACTCGAAGACACTGGCAACCGACGTGACGGATAAAACTCTCATTCAGTCCGGCACGATACCCGCCGCGTCCGAGATCTCGTCTTCGTCGATGAAGTCGTCGCAGCATTATTACCCCGTGACCTATGCGGATTACAGAAGCACGGGTTCCCCGTACTCCTACAATACTCAGAACTACTACGAAAATCCGATCAATAGTGCCATGAATCAAAACTACTTGCCGACCACCAGTACGATCGCCACGAACGTCTACCAGCAACCGATCTTCTCTGCTTCGAGTGCGAACGCATCTACCTCGGGCGTTCAGTATCCCGCGAGTTCTTATCTATCGAACGGACAAGCGGTCTCTGCGTCCACCAACGGACAGGACAAGTACCATAACGCGTCGCAGTCTGCTTATAACGTCTCCAACAACGCTCTGCAATATGACGCATATCACCAATCTGTGGCGGGTTACAACAACAGTTACAACATTGTGACACCGTACGTTCCTAATCAAGACAAGGCCGCAGCTATTGTTAAAAGTGGCACACCGGAAATGCCATCGCAAGTCCAGCCAGTGTCACAAATACCTGTTTCTACGATCGGCGCGGCTGCGAGCGTCACGATGCCAATAGACGGCCAGACGCACACTTACAGCATTGTGCAGCAGGATCAGCAATACGATAACCAACAAAAGACTGTCTTACCGAGCCAAGAGATATCTCACGGTGGTCAAAATGCTGTCAGACCTCAGCCGACACTCCCGACGAAGGACAACACGCCGACTCAGAGCTACTCCTTACCTCAAGCTGCCGGCCAAGCCGAGATGACGTACCCGCAGAACTACCCGGTCACCGCGTACTACAATCCGGCGGAACTCCAAGCGACTCAGCAAGTCCCGTTCACTCACGGCACGTACGATACAACACAATATATGCAGTCGCAACAACCAAGCACTAACAATCAGCCGGTACACTCCGCGACGTCGGCGAGTGAGATCTCAGCGGTGTCGTACGTTTCAAATCTGCAAACCGGCGTGGTGAATCCCACGCAGTATCCGCAACAGACGAACAGCATGGATCAGGGCAAACAGGCATACACGGATAACACATATGCCTCGTACGGCGCCACGCAGATGCAGGTGAACCAGGTCACTCCGAGTTATCCGAATACTTATCAGAATTATCAGCACGGCGCTACTACCGCCACGCCGTACCAGCAACAGACTGGCATACAAGCCGCGGACACGTCCAACACATACGCTTATCTGAATAACTCAAACAGCTCGGAGATGATACAGAGCCACGCGAAGTCGATGACAGTGCAAAACTATTCGCAATCGTATCAGTACCCGCATCAGGACGCTTACGCGAGTTACGCGCAGTACCCGAGTTATTCGCAGGGTCAAAGTTACGCGTATATGCAGCAGCCCGGCGCTCACGGCGCGATGACGTACAATCCTGCTGGCCAGGCGCAGGGCTACGCCGCTTACGCGGCCAACAATATTCAGACCACGCAGGCTTCTCAAACGTTGGAGGAAACGGTCTCGATGCCGTCCGTCAGCGTCACCGCCACTGCCACCGGCGGTTATCAGCAACAAGAGACGAACGCGAGATACACAAACGCGGGTAATAACGCCGTAGTCACTCAGACGGCGTCCTCGCAGTATAGTCAAGTTCCTCAGTCCCAAACGGGAAATGACACGTATTACACTACACCTTATGGTCTTCAGATGCAGCAGGGTCAAGGTAGCTCGACGTTGAAGTATCTCACCGGGAAGAAATGCTTCGTAACACAAGTTAACACAATCATTATCGTTCTGTCTTTTTTTCATATTCAATGAATGACAAAAATAGGATAATGCTTGTGTCGATTTGTGTCACTGAATAGAAAGTACTCAATACAATCGTTCACACGTTCTTCACATGCGTTTCTTTTTGTTTCAGTGAGCTCAGTTACGAGACCTGAAAATCATACCAATTACAATCAGACGTACATGCAAGCGGTGAACAACGGGACGAACACAACAACAAGCGCAAATCCGATGAAACTCACCATCAAGTCTGACGAGCCAAAATCAAATGTCGATCTCTTGTCTGATCTTGATATCACCATAAATCACGCACCTCTTGTGCCAGAAGTACGACCTCTTTCCACAGTACAGAAAAAAGAAGAGACTGCGACGAGTGATACCGCGGAAAACGGCAAAGTGGAGAAGAGCGAACAGGATAAAGCCCAAAAGACTGAAGCGGAAGCAACAACGTCCACCGAGGACAAGAATGACCACGAGAACTTGCAGATTGTATGGGACACCTGGTACAACGACGTGCAACCGAAGAAGGATCCTTTGGGGGAGCCAGCGGCGCTGCAAAAGTTCATCAATGACGTGGAGAAGTACGAGAAGTTCGTAGACAGTCTGCTCGTGAAAACTCTCAGCGGAGCTACAAACCTTGATATCAAATGGAAGGAAGTGCAGGATTTTGAAGTGAGTAAAATTAATTTTACCGGTATTTCACTCTTACACATCCAGTCATCAAGTACGTTTTGAAGAATATACATTCTTTCTTTTTCAGGAACGAGAAAATGGAAAACAATCGAGCACCGTGGCGTTAGCTCATTCATCCGAAAATCGCGCGGTCGATTGCATCCCGTACGACACTACGAGAGTGCAGGTATCCTCGTCGGACGTTTCATCATATATAAACGCGTCGCACGTCATGGAAATCACACAATGGATACCTACGGCATTTATCATAACTCAATCACCTTTGTCAGATAAACAAGATGTCTTCTGGACAATGATTTGGGAACAAGAGAGCGAAGTTATCGCTTGCTTAGTGTCTGATGCTCAGGTTTGTAGATAACAATTAACACATACTTACATAGCACAGTCAAAAAACGAAAAATAAACGTACGTTATTTAAAATATTTTCTACATGTACAATTAATATCTGACTAACATCATATTATTATATCTTAACACGGGGTTCTCAATGTTAACACGGGGTTATGCTTGTTTTGATCGCGTAAAATGTCTTCTGCAGCTAAATAACGAGATATACTGGCCCATAAGTGAAGAGAACAATTTAGATGTAGGAAATTTTACAATTTCGCTACAAAAGACAGTGAACCACACAACCTATGTTCAAAGAATCCTCTCCATACAACACAACAAAAAGATATCCGAAAGAGTTGTTGTACACATGCAGTTCCTCGTGTGGCCTTCGAAGTAAGTTAATCGAAATTGACTTGAGAATACGCGTTCAGAACGATTTTGTCTAACCTTCTACTGTTTCAGCGGTTTTCCAAGTAGCCCTGGCACTTTACTTGGATTTTCGACTGACGTGATGACAGAGCAGGCGTTAAGACGTTGCTCTCCCAAGCCAGTGATTGTGCATTGTTTGGATGGTGGTTCGTTGAGTAGTCTGTTCTTAGTGGCCGCTGCAACAGTATGTCATATACGGGCGGGTTGTGGGATCGTAGACGTGCCACTGGTCTTTAAGGGCCTGGCGAAATGTCGCAAACAAGTCGTGAATAAAGAGTCGTTGTTGTTTGCGTATAGACTAGTTTTGTATCACGCTCAGGATATTTTAATGAAACGTAAGGAAACGACTGCCTTGTGATATATTTGTTGTAAAACTGTTAAAGTGACAACGTACTTTAGTAATCTTTTTCTCAGGCGGTATTTTGTCATCTACTCGATCCACGTTTGAGAATTTCGATGGATTCAAAGGGAACAAGGAGAAAGCGTTAAGAAGATTGCATCAGTGTCATCCATCGGACGATTTTCTACATAATCTTGCCGTCGGAATGCATCGTTCTGATACTGAACAAGGTATGCGATTAAGAAAAAAAAATACTTTACAAAATTTGAAAATAATTTTCATGATCCTTTAACACATGTAGTCTTGCATATTAACTCGTGAGCGAATTACTTTTAAAGCGCCAAACGGATCTTATTTCAGGAAAGATACAAGTAAGTGACAACGCGACAACTTCAACGTCATCGCAAGAAAAAAATAACGACGGAGTCGTTGATCCTTTAAGCCAATTGGATCCTCTGTGGTCTATCAGGAGATAATTATATAATGTTAGGAATGTGCAAATTCCACTGTCCAGCTTTAAATCGACGACTATTTAAACAAGATAGCCATTCCTTATCTTTGTTAAAGTGATCAAGAATGACGAGCTATAAAATATGTATAAATGTTGCAAACGGAACTAGAACAAGGTAACAATGCATCTAAATTAGCTTTGAAATAAAAGACATTTATTCAAGTATTTCCTAATCCTTAAGTTTTAAGGGTTTACAATCTGTTAAATATATATATAGAATAAAAAATATAAAATGCATGCTCCTATTCGCATTCATTTCCATATTTATACATCTGTGGCCTAAGTGCAATGCAATCTAATTACATTGCCTTGTTCGAATTTCATTATATTTAGGCTGTAATGTACGTTAATCCACCTATAGATAGTCTTGCATTTAATTTTTAGTACCAACTTAAACATTCGTGACCATACTCGTGTCACCAAGCAATAGCGTAATATAATGTAAACTTTATGAAATATTTATTTACGACACGATTTCTTGGAGAATAAAAGGATGCTTTCGATAATATAATTGTTCAATACTGTAGCGCATTAGATGCGAAATATGTATGAAACAATCCTTTTTACTTATATTAAAAACAGACATTTGCGAATATCCATGAACAATTATCCTAATTAGTCATGTTTGTTCAATGTTATGACTTTAGTCGAAATTCAATACCGGGAGAAATACATGCAAAACATACATTTCGAAATTTTGATAAATTGTATATATTTATATTTAATATCGTTTTCATGTTTACGGCGAGAGTTTATCTACAAAAGTTTCGGTTACACGGGATATATTGAGATACAATCTGATACGCCGTATGTGAGTATCAGATTTCGCAGTGTTCATCGCGAAACGCATGCGTAAGTAAATGTAAATATAAAAAAAAAAAACAAAAAAGAACATTTGTAACATAATAAACCTGTGACGATACGAATCCCAGTTAGAGAGCACTTTTAAGCTCCTCTGTTTCGTAGATCTTTCACTTTGTAAATTCGTACGAGCCAATGTTCTGTCGTGTACGCCTCTTCTAACGTATCCAACTCAAAGTCCTTATTTCCAATTTCCATATTTCTGACTCTGTCATAGCCTGGCGGCTTGCCTGTTTAAAAATGCGATTAGATAAGATATTGTCACTGTTGTAACTTGGACTCATGGACTGCAATTTTGCTAGATAATCTTACCGCCTTCAGTGTAGATTTGACCGAATCTATAATAGCACATTTTGTACATGAGACAGTTGAGCAAAACTGGAGATCCCTCTTTGTCCACTCGAAATTCGCCCGCGGAATTGTAGTAATTCCACTCGGTTATAGATTTTCCTTTCTCCGTACTACCGCCGATACGCACCATCCATAGGAACTTATTTATATCTAATAAAAATGCGTAAAATAATCAAATTTTAATAACGTTTCATCTACGTATTTCCGCGCGGATTACAATTGCAACCAATTCGAGCAATTGTGCTCACCGTCTGATGAGTATCCAGTAAGTCCACCAAAAATCACGAGGACATAGTTGACATCCAATTCTCTCATTATCTCGTAAGCCTTCTCTTCGGAACTTGCCATTGCCTGGCCAACTCTTGATATGTGCGTATTATTCCACGTGTTATTGTCTACTAGAATAGTACGATTCGCCATTGCAGTTATCTGATAGCCATAGTCCCACCAAGACATTACTTTAGCATTCTATGAGGAAAAGGGAAAGATAAAATTCTTTTTAATATTACTTTTTAGCAATTACTGTCAAAGTTATATTGTCAAACAATAACGCTTTTATCTATTTGATAATTATTTTCATCAATCTCTTGAATTTGTAATTTCAAATGTTCATTTGTATCTGAAATAACATGAAAATGAATGATTGTTACCTCGGGTGTATTCATACGTAGCCAATAATATGCTTCCCTAAAATCGTCGAAAATCATTCGTCCACCGTCAGGCGACCGTGCGGACAATACGATGCTAGGTGAGCTATAAGCTTCTGCCGTAACCCACGTGCAATGAAGAGTATAAGAGAAGAAGAGTATACACATGATCGAGATAAAGAACATAGCAATCTAAAAAGATCGGTTAATACGTTAATTTTGTTTCATTCTATATTCGATTATCATATTTTAAACGTATTCATTCCTCGAAACATTAAGAGTTTTTGTAGCCTACCTCACTTCTTAAGACATAGTTACTTTCGAATTTCTTGGCTTTCTTATCAGTAACCTTGGAACCTTCAACTTGTTTCATATACGTAACTAGTAAAGAAGATGCTCCAATTCCACCCAAAATGCACATTACAGGGGCGAGTACCAACATCAAACGTACCATCACTCCCTGAAATGGATAAATGGACGTTATTTACGTGTGATATAGATAAAAATTTTATCTATATAAAAAAGCTACAATGTATCTCTGTAATATTAATGAAGAAATATTTCATATTATGCGGGAATATAATTTACAAGCATCTATATTCTAAGTGTGCAATAAATGTAAGAATTTAAATGCGTACTACAATATAACTGTAAAATTACTTACTGCAAAATATAAACTGGTAACTCCATACAAAATTAGGAAAATGTTTGAGTCCGTCAACTTAGAAAAACAGAAATATAAGCCTAATGGGAACAAAAATACAAGTATCTGCAGATCAAAGTAGAAGGAGCTCCATGATGTTGGCTGATGTTCCGAAACGGAAGCAATTATTGGAATGTGATTTTTTGCATAAGATGGATCAAGCAGCGAGTAAAAGCGTCCAGTCCATGGTGATATTTTCCCTTAAAAAATTAAGTACAGCACACGAGAATATAATGAATGAAATGACTTGAAGTATACTTGATATATAAGTGTATTAAACAATAGATTAAGAACTATAAAGGATCCATACCTGTAATAGTTAAAATACCACCAACTGCGCATGATGTAGTAACCACTATAATGACAAGAGCACGGAATAACATTTCAAACTCCTTTTGCGATAGCTTGCTCCGTAGATAATCTACTAACGCGTGTATTTGGCAGAGACCAAAAACACCCAATGCCTATGAGAGTTAAATAATATAAATAAAACCGCGCAGAATTTTTGTCATTATTTGAATGCAAATGAAAACCCTTAATAGCGCATTACAAGTACTACAACACACTTACAAGCATATGCTCGGAGCTTTGAACTGGTTGAAAGCCAACAAACGATATCTGCATAGATAGAATTGTGCCTAAACAATACAAAATACTGTACGCAATGTATATCCTGTGGGAAAACCGGCCAGTCACTATCAAGGTCAGCACATGCAATGGTATCAAATTGATCAAAAAGACATATCCTCCCCATGAGGATACCATGTAGAAGTATGCCAATGCAGAACACGTAGCCCAACATATTGCTCCAGTCTTTACAGCTTTGATCCACATGTAATAGGTGAATAACATACAAAAGATTGCTATGCCTTCATTGTCATATGATCCTGCAACTGATCGAGATATGTAACCGGGTACAATAGCAATCATTGCAGCTGCAAATAGGCCTGACGCGGAATCCTAAAAGAATGAATAGATTTGATAGATTGTAGTTCTTTATTTATAGAGATTAAGAAATAATGCTTGCACTTTAAGCACACATAGAGAAACAATTTTAAACATACCTTCAATTCTTTAGTCAGCAGATAAGTAATGATTGTAGTTAAACTTGAGAACAATGGAGCAAGGAAGACACAAATATTACGTATATCTAATGTAATATTCAGTAACCATGAGAGACGATACAGTGCTGCAGAAGTTATCATTAAACCAGGATATATGGTTCCTGCAAAATTTATTTTAAATACTTAGAATACTCAATTTTATTCTGAAGAAATAGATCAGTTTCTTTATATACAGCACCTCCTATTATTCTGCCAAGTGGATACCAAACACGATCATCAAACCAATTATGAAAGCTATAAAAGCCATTTTCAGCTAAATATTTTGTTGTGCGGTAATTGAAATAAGGATCAAATTCATGAATAACACTTTCAAATCTTAATACTGAGAACAAACGTGTGGCAAATGCTGCAAGAAATAATTATATGTAAAAACAATTGGATATAATATTTCAACGTCTATGTGAAAATCTAAGTACAGAAATAATAGACTTACATAAGATTGCTGCTAAAGAAAGCACAGTTAATTTTAAGAGTGTTTCTTGCTTTTGCGCTGTCATACGCATACCCCTTGCTTTCACTAACAACACCATGTTGATGCAAAGGAAAGCACAATAACTTCAAGTAAATAAAATCCTGAACTCTATAATATATAATCTGCAAATAAAATTATTTGATTTTTTATATAGCCTGCATATTAAGTTATTGTACATTTAAAAAAGTCTAATAAAATATAAAATATAGATATCTGAATAAGCTTAATTCTCAAAAAATAATAAAATGTTCTGTGTACAAGTTCTGTGTACAGAAAATAAATGTGAAACAAACACATGTTCGTCAATTTGTTTAAAAGGTTATAATTGCATTAGCAAAGTAAACCGACGTGCACATGATTAAATTGAAACGATGAGAATCACATGAAAGAAACGTACGCTCCTAGTCTTAAAAAATGTTAATGCACTCAAAAAGATGTGCGTATACTTTTAGATAACACCGCGTGTAACATCACCACTGACCACGTACACAAAATTACCGGCCGGTGACATATCGTTTGTCACATTTTACACCAAATATTTTAGGTAGTACACTAATCCTTTAAAATGTCAGGAGAAACTTACGAAATTATTGTATACAACAAATGCGAAAAAAGAACGTGGCCATTTAAATTATTAACTAACAAATATTACACAATTCCCAAAGTAAAGGCATAGATTATAACCCGCAATATGACGGTTTAATCAGGATCAATCGAGATAGAATTAAACAGATGAGAAACTGTCTTGCACAATTCTGAACGTCGTTCGTATAGAGACCAAAATTAGATTATCGCACGATTCACATTTCTCAATAAATAATTCTTTTTCAATTAACATATTTTGATCGAAGCACATTTTTAATTTAATCAAATGTTAAAAATAACGATTAAAAATCTTTGAAAATGACAAAAATAACAGGTCGAAATATTTAGCCATCTTTCGTCATTAAACATATGTTGTAGACAAATGGAGAATTGTAAAAATTAAATACTTATGAGCATAAAGAAAATTTGAATTTTATATAAGTAGAAATCTTTTTAGAAATATTAATAAAATTATGAATATAAAATATACAGACATTTGCATTGTGAATGTGCAGCTCAAGCGTCATCTTTAAGACACTGAGTGAAAGTACGATGTCTTATCTTCAATGCCTCTATTCAATGTCGCAGTTTGTTTATAGGTAGGATCCATTTGGAGCTGCAGACGCTTTGAAGTACGAAAAGAAAGATTGTAATTGGTCTTTGGTACGGAGCTTCGAAGCGTTTGTAGCATCGAATGGATCCTGTTCTATATTCCACGAATTGTTCCCGCCAAGGAACCGGCGCAGCCGGTATTTCTGTTATGTTTCGCAGAAACTCTCTACATTGTGTATGACAAAATATCGTTTTAATTTAGTTTATTTTAATTTAAATTAGCATAACGTGGTGTTTATCGTGCAAACATGTCGGAAGGTAATCGATATTCAAGTTTAATACGTTTTACATTAACATCACGCGGCTAACCTCTAAGATCACAATGGCAGTTTATGCAAAGGATGTTAAAAATAAATTTTACGAAATCTCGACCCAAAATATCAGCAATGATCTATGCTTTTTATTATCTGAAAGAATGCATATATTTCTTGAAGCTATTTGTAGTCTACTAGGATACACATTGCTCACAACAGCCTGTAGCAATAATAATTGAATAGGACATTAATATTTTTATGCTATATTTTACTCTATATATTCTATATAAAAGTAATTTTAAGAATTTCATATATTTATCTTCATACTCAAGTTTATAAGTGGCTTGATTGAGAATTTGAAAAAATATTTTTTTTTTTTATATAGATAAGGTAACAACAACAGAAGACATGTGGACTCCATATAAAGAACTACAAAGTCTTGTTGACAAATATATAATATCAGTTCCTGTTATACAAGATCCACAATATCATGAACTTACAGAAGCTTTGCGAAATCATAGACAGAATTTTCTTGCTATCTTGAAGAATCCTGTAAGTACATGTATCATTTTCTCTATTAGATAACACTCTCTAGTATAATTTTAAAGTGAAAAATATCCTAAAAGATCCTAAAAGATTACATGTTTTTAGTATATATATATATATATATATATATGTATATAGAGAGAATACATATATATATTACTTATTTATATATTCTGTTTTATATAAATAAATACTATATATACAGTAAATATCATGATAGTATATTATATTTTCTAGCCAAAAAAGGTAAAAAGTCGGGAGGAAATTAAGAAAGGTGTTACTGAAGGTATAACACTACCTGGCTTGGGTCATCAAATATTATCAAAGGAATTGGTGGATGAAACTCTCATCATATCAGATATGTATGAGTTGAATGAGTTTATGGCATTAGATCTCCTCTGCACAGCTCAGCTTCAAATGCCACATTATCCTGGATTAACGCGTGGTCTAACAGCAATCCTTCTGTATTATGATGGAAGAAAAGCACTGACTTCAGTATTGAGAACATTGATGAATACTCGCATTGGCCATAGTTGGGCGGTAGATGTGCCAGTTGCTCTCACAAGACACATTACAGAATATACAAACAAGTTACAAGAGGATGGTCTATTAAACAGAATCTTATCTTTATTAGAAGAAATGGACCCTACTAAGGTATATTTTAAGAAGGAATGAGGTATATTTTAAATGGAGTAGAATCTTACTCTATTTAAAGTACTTACTCTAATGAGATATTACTATTATAAAAATTTATAAAGTAGACTATATACTTTATAGCTTCTATAGTCTGTTCAGTACCTAGATCATTGAGATTAATTTTTCCAAAAATAATTTCAAATAGGAACAAGATTTGCTACAGCAAAATAGAGCATTGGGTGGAGCAAAACATCATCAAATGGTTATGAAGCTTTACAATGACACACGACAAGATCTAGCCGACATTTTGTATTTATGGTCTGCTCAATCGTCACTACCGAATACAATTCTATTTCGTTTGTTATCGATGTTGCAAGTACGTCAAGTAGAATCCGAGGCCGGTGAAGGAGGACCCGATACAGTTACACTCGCTCTTATTATGGCTGTTCTGAATGCCATGAACTTTAGTTTCCTACATAGTCGCGAGAATGGCGAAGGTATCCGCGATATTTTATTTGTTTGCATATCAATATACGTGCACGATTTTTATAACAATTATAATTCCAACATTTCTCTCTCTCTCTTGCAGAATTGATTAATTCAATACCGCTAATAGCGGAGAGAGGAGCACTGGAGGAAGTGAATCAGAAATTGATATCTGCAAGCATAAATTGGGAAAGCGCCGGATTGCGCGGTGTGATACAGTTCGCTTTTGCGATAGCTATAACCACGATTAAAACGACCACCACTCAATTCCAATCGCAGAACATCACAACAGAGGACGAAATATTGATCGAAGCGGCCCTATCTAACAAAGCTTTCCATTTTATGGCCGAAGTTCTGTTCAAAAGTGCCTGTATATGTCAGGAGCAATTCTACGTTCGTTACTTTCACACACTCATTTCGGACTTTATACTGCTGATGCCGGTCAAAGTCAAGGAATTACGTAGTCGTGCCGACGAATCCATGCGCCTGATACAAGCGTTTCAGCAGGAGGGCATTGAGCCTCCTATGAATCTGGACAATCATTTCGAATACTTGATGTTAATGGTAGCGGAACTATATAAGAAAGATCCATTGAACTTGAATCTAGCCATGGACTATTGGTGCTATCACACCGATACAACACACGTGTCGGCTCCTGCATACATCAGTCGCCTACCTTCTAGACAAGTCGCCTTGTTCAAATTTGTCCGGCTCGCTGGAGAGATATTGCCAGCAGGCTTGTTTGTGCCCTACATGAGGATGATAGCGTCTCTCGCTTCGTCACCGCAAGCAGCCAGACACGCGTTTAACTTTTTTAAACCTAACGGTAAGTACATAACCGCGAGCAAATCGTATTTATGCTCACGTTACTTTCACAGTGGAGTTATATGAACGTGTCTATTGTACAGGGTCTTCCGGTTCAGCAACGATTTCCTGGGATCACTTCTTCAATTCCCTAAGTCGATACTATTACAATCTAAGACAGGAATTACCTCCTAGCCAAGACACGGTGTACAGGCAGAGGTGCCATCCAAAGGGAATCATGCCTCAGGAGGTGAAAGGTCTCGAAGCGGTGTTACTGGTAGTTCAAGTGATCGCAAAGAACGACGAGATGTCGAGAGTGGCGATATGCGATCATCCAGGTTGGAAAGTCTTACCGTCTTTAATCGGCTTGGTGAGCTGCGCGATGCCGATACCACTGAAGGGTGTGTTAGTGAGAACGCTCGCGGCACTGGCCAGATCTGCAGAAAGCTCTTCCACTGTTTGGCAAAGCTTAGAAGCTGCTCAAATTCTCTCCACTATACCAACGACGAGCAGTTATCAACCGAGAGGTGTGCAAACAGAACTGGAGGAGATCGAGTCTAGGAACGAAGAGTATCCATTGACACGTGCTATGTTGGAATTATTGGACGTGCTAACCGACTTCCCGATACCACGTCTCTTGGGCGTCGGTCAACGAAACCCGGGATTCGACCCATACCTGCACTTCGTCATCAATACTGTCTTTCTGAGATTTCACACTCGTTCGTACAAGAATCCCGCGGAGAAGTGGGCAGTTGCGGAGGCTTGCTTAAAGATCTTCTCCAAGTTGATAAAGCAGTACGAGCCGACCATCGAGGACTTCGTAGGCTGCAAGGTGGAATTGCAAGGCGGTGAGTCAACACTGGTGAATTCGGCGCCGGGATATCACCTAATGACGCAACTGCACACGTCTACTGAGTTATTGCACGTAGTATTGTATATATTAGACGAGGGTTGCCTTCATTTCGACACCTACGACACTTTCTCGGGCAAAAAGTATCTAGAGAGCTGTAGTCTATACTGCCTGGAGATACTCGAACGTGGGCTGAAGATGCAAAACAATTATATGACACAGTTAGCCGCTATACCTGTGAACAAACTGATGACTGGATTGTCGCGCTTGCTACTTGGGGTGAATCCTCGCACAGGCAAACCGGATCACATGATCAACATCGTCAAATATGTCTCTTACAACTCATGGTTGCCGAAACAAGCGTTCGTAGCCGTCGGTGTTATTCACGGTGTGACTAACGAGCCCGGAGCAGACTCCGAATTGTTGGCAATGTTCACGGCGACTTCCACTTTAGCGACGAATATCCGACACGGCTTCGTCGAGTGCTTGGACGCGGACAACATCCCGGAGGATGACGACGAGATGATCGGCGGCGAACAAGTCAGGCAGCAGGCTGGGAACTGTAAGGAGAGGATTCTATTGTTAATGATGCATAGCATTACTCGACCAGCGCCCAATCTCGCGCATTACCTGCTCGGCTTCGAGATCACGAAGGACATCAGGAAAACAGTTATCCAGCAGCCAGGATTCTTAGGTTTCCCGCGCACTTGTTTGCACTCAATTCTAAGCATTTTGGAACAGTCTCTCGATCGCGGCCGTGACAAAATCACGGAAGCTTGTTACTGTTATCTCCATACATTAGCAGCCAACAGTAAGACGTCAGCACCCGTCCTGAGATTCCTGCGTACCACGAGCAATCAGGACTTCGTGCAGAGGCATCTCTCAAAATTACCGTTCCAAGGACCAAACAGATCGACCGAACTCGGCTGCATGTCTTGGTTGCTGAAGATAGCGGCAGTCGAGTTACGAGTCGCCGGTGGCAGCTTGCAAACTTCTCTGATCCAGCGGCTGGTGGGTAGTTTCAATCAAGACAAGGACCAAATCGTGCCGTCACAAAAACTTCTGATGGATCTCTTGCATTTCATCGACTTTCAACTGTATCTGGAGCCCGCCAAATCTTGGGAATTTTTTGATCCATCACAGATCGAGGTAGTGCTAGGTCGTTGTAGCACTCCGGTCGCACTGATGGGCGGCCCGCGACTCATCGACATCAGAAAGCTACATTCCCTCATCACCGAGGAACTGACGGTCACGCAGAGTAGCGCGACCGCCACTCAACGTAAGCTCATGCAGCAGGAAGTCAAGTCCATCCTCGCGCACGCATTAAAGAAGAACCAGACGAAAGTCTTATCCTATGCAACAGTCAAGTTCGTGGAAGGCTGGTGCCAAACTACGGAGATACTCTTCTCTGTCGCGACCAATCAGCAATTGCTGGCGACGCAGCGGCAGAATCTACTGTTGAATCTGTCGCATGATCTTCTGCAGAAGATGACGTCCTGCGAGGCGCTTAGCGAGATTAAGACACTGGTGTCCGGAACGGTCCTGATGCTGCTGGTGAATCTGCGAAACAACTTCATGATCCAGTCAGACAACGAGTTGGTGCCGTCGTCGCCGTCGAATACGACGATGATGAAAATCATTCTCAGCCATATTTTGCAGTGGATCATAAGCGCTGGTGCTTCCTCGCAAAAAGTCGTGACGCATCTCTACGCGGCTTTGTTGAACTTCTTGAGTATCGTTGGCCTGGAGAAGTCCGAGCACGTGAGCGTGCTCGACACGACGTACGTCAACCAATTGGACAACACGTTCAACCGATTGATGCCTATGCAGGAACGCTCACAGCGTTATGCGACGATACAGGTCATCAATAGCTTCGGTAACCAGCTGATGGACATTCTCTGTCACAATTGCTCGGGCGGGCACGACGTGTGCAAGATGTTAGCGCTGTCTTGTCTGGACAAGATTCTGGAGTTAGATGGCGAAAACGCGTGGATGATCTATTTGGCAAGCAGAGGTTACCTGAAGCACATGATCGACAGTCTGCTGGAGTCAGACAATCTGCTGCGGTGCATGCTACAGCCAGAGCCGCAAACGCTGCGGCCGCTATACTTGTACGAGGCGAAAATGGCGATCTTCTGCCGCATGGCGTCTACACGACTGGGTGCAGAAAGTCTCTTAGAGAACAAAATCCTGTCCTGCATGTCCAGTATGTGTGTATTCGACCAACATCCAGATGTGCACATCGGTTTCGAGGGTAGCGATTACTCGTTCATACCGTCGGTTGGCCAACGTTATCAGCAGGTTTTCTTGCCGGCTCTGTATCTCTGCGACGCTCTTTTCACCACCCTGGGCACGGAGAATCAATCATGTGCTGTGCAAGTATGCGGCTTCCTGCAAAGTCACCGGGATACTGTGGAAATGGCTTTGAGGAACGCTTCATCCCACGCCAACGTGTTGTTCCTGAAGGAGATAGCCTGTCTCACCGGCGTGATCTCCAGATCCGCCAATATAGGTGCGTAGTCGCATGAAATTATTCTTGTGTTTTTCACATATCATTGTAATATCACCATTGTCATAAATAAACGCAATTGTCCTCCAGACATGTACAGACTTGTGGACGAAGAGCTGGCGAAGATAGATATAGATGACTACAAATTGGAGAATAGCACCGGAATGAGAGAACTGCGGGCGCATCTTTATCGCGTGCAAAAACTGATGCTGTCGTTGTTGAATAAGTTTCAGCTACAATCGATCTCAATAAATCACAACTACCAGCAAACTGAGGCAAATCGGAAATACATCTCCTGCATACAGATAATCGCCAACGTCATGTTATATACACGTAATCAAGTAACGTCCTGAATCATAATGTAACATACCTGTTATACAGAACGTTCCACTGGAAATTTCTATAAATATCCCCTAGAAATTTTCATTAGATCGTTCTGCGTAACGTCATAATGTTCTGTTATAATGTCATGTTACAAGCTTAACATTCTCGCCTTTCAGATGCAACACAGTCGTATGGATCAAAAAATACGGAACGTTCTGTTTGATCCTCATCTGACGCCGAAAGTCGGAGGAAGGCAAGACAAGATGAAGGACGGGATGCATTTGGGTACGATAGTCGAGCAATTGGTTTCCGTAACAAATCTACTACACACCGAGCTACCTCACATCGATTTTCTGATCAAAAAAGTGCAGATGGTAGCCGATATGAACACAGCGGAATTAAAGAAGGTTAGCACTGATGAAACGTATTCTTGATCTTCGATCGTTTTATTCGTACGTGCACTGCAAATCCAAGCATGTCATTTTTAAATGCATAAATTTATAATTTGGTTGAAGCTCTTTTTACATGTTTCTTGCGGTTTTAAATCATGTTATTCAACACACGTTTAAAAAACATGTAAATTATGATCTAATACATTTAACTCTTACAATACAATGTGAAAAAGGGCACTCCCTTGATACAATCATGGGTCTTTGAAGTCCAACAACATTACTTCAACTATTTATAATGATTTAAAAAATCTGCAAAAATTCATGAATATTCTTTCAAGTTTATAGAACAAATATATGTAATTAAAATTGGACAATAATAATACATAGTATAGTTTACTTATGGAAAAGGAAACACAGATCGAGGAAATGAAAGATTTGATTTAAAAAATTGTAACTTTGTACAATGAATAGATGGGAAGAAATGGGTTTAGCATTTTTCAGTTTAAGGTTCAACCTTTTAAAAAATTATGGCCCGAATCTCCAATTCTTTAAAAAATAATTAAGTATAATTATTCGAGCACCTGAAAATGAGTAATTTTCAGGAAGAGACAAATAGAAAAGGTCGAATTTTTCGCAAATAAAATACATTCCTTTCTGAAGGGAGTACAAAATTAATATGTTTATTTATCAAAAAAGATGAAAAAGAATAGGAAGCCGACAGAAAAAAATGCAATATAAAATTATGTTCAACAATCCAAGCAAATTTGTGTGTGGTGTTTCTCGCACATTGCCTTACCGCAAGAAACACAACATACCCATGTTTTACGGTCGACATTGGTAATACATAAGCACTTTATTGGACACTTTGATTCGGCCCTCAATTTCGGTCCATTGTCTTTACATACAGGTTCTTCCCACTACTAAGTTTTTTTAGGGGGAAATTAGAAGTGGAAAGCTATTCGACACTTCGAGAAATTTCCAAAAGAAAAATCCGTTGGATTTGAAAGACTTATAATTGCATTCTACGGGTTAAAAACGTAAATTAAATGACATAACTTAAAACAGTAAGAAACATGTAAAAAGAGCCAAAATGATATATTTAGATATGTAGAGAGATATCGTAGAGATTTTAATTAACATTAATTGATCTTAACAGTATATGTCCGAGGACGAAGTGGAACTTGACATAGAAAAGCAACGAATGCTCGTCGAGCAACGGTTGAATCGTTGGGTAAAGGATAAGCGCCTAAGCATCAAGTATTGCTCCCTCATAATAGAACACACTTTATACATCCTTTGGAGTCATTTGGACTTTTACGCCATGCAAGTGATATCACGACAGACTCAGAGGCTACACGGTTAGTGAGATAATCACAAAGAATACACATGTATATATTTGTGTATAATGTGCAATTTTTGATTCTTTAATTATCTTTAATTATATTATTGATCCCACAATTATAATTGTAAAGATATATGTCTATTATACAGTGTCGTCGAGCGGCATCGATGAAAATATGGGGGAGTGGAAATTCACGTCGGAAACTCTAATGGAACTCAAGCAAGGACTCGTATCTACGTTTACGGATACTTTCATTACACAGCTGTTAGATACGCATAGTGAATACGCAACAGTAGACCGTAGCTTCATCGAGGCTCTCATCAGACGAATCAAAAGGCTGTTACAGTTTATAATTGTAAAATAATAAAAACATAAGCTTGTGTCGACATATATTTAGTTACAAATTTAAATATATTAATTCTTTGTATCTTTTTTTGTATAGTTCGCTCGATATTAATCATGGCTTTGTAATAAGCATGAACAGTATTGATTGTTGAACATGAAAGACAGAGGAGGGATCAATGACATTGTTGGTATTTTATTCAGAATTCCGTATAAATAAGCGAGTAAATTAATTTTAATATCGATTATAATTCTTTTTCATCCTTACATTTTATACAAGATTTTTTTTTTTATGCAAAAGACGTACATCAGTAGGATTTGTACGAATATTCCTCTCTGAAGAATATATATAATGTTATAATATATTAATGTATAAATATATTATGATATAACATATATATATTTATACCAGCAATACAAGCTCTTACCGGCCTACTTTTACTACCCTATTTCTATTTGATATATTAGACAAATGTTTGGAATTCCTTGAGTTTTTATTAAGCATGTTATTTCTATGTAATATTATGTTTCTATCTACACTATTAGAACAGTTATATTGTTATAATTACAATGAGAAACACTAGTTTTAATAAGAACTTTTCCTAAATTAGAGAAAATTCTGAAAGTCTTATGAAATTGACTATCCTGAAACTGAATACTGTGATCAACAATTACATGATCAACAGAAGGAGGGAGGGATAAGAAAAAGAAAGTAGGCATAAATCGCTTCGAAAATACAATTCCAAAAACACTATTAGATAAAAAATATTGTTTATTTCATAAGATTATACATATTTATATTAATTTCTAATTATAAAAAAAATTCAATCCTATGAAGCAATCACTGCCTCGTCCCAAGGACCATAAATGTTATCCTTGTACTTTTGGCATCTGATATACCAGAGTGGACATATAAAATGAATAAATGTTACAGCAATAATGAAGACATACAAAAATATTTGTGACACAGATAACAGTAAATATATAGTACTAATTGCTAAAATGGTTGATATGATAATTTTATTCTTCATTTGTGACAAAAAATATGGTAATAATACAAAACATTGAACTGAAACTGTTAAAAGGGAGAATGCGTGTAATGGTGATGCTAATCTGGAAGCTAACATCAATGAACCAAAAATTGAGGATGTTATGGACAAGGAGTCTGACAAAGAAATCTGCGATGCTCCATATTTACTGAATATTAAATGAGTTAAAAACATAAATATTGTCATGGCATAGATTGTGTCAGTACTGATCGTCTCAGTTAACGTCTTTAAAATGGGTGATAGCACATAACCAAATGTGAGAAATATCAATACTGTCCATAAATCTTTTGTCAGCTTCACAGATTGATCAGGCACTCTAATCTTATAAATAAAATACCCAAAAATCGTCAGGATACTTCCTGATATTACAATAACATCTGGTGTGGTCCACTCATTATTCAACCAAATAAATATTATAACAAAGAGTACCACAATGCTCAATTGTATGGATATACTGGCGCCCAAGCTTATTGCTTCTATCAATGTCACATTATTTGGTTTGATATTTTTGCGTAGTTGTTCCAAAAAGGAACTATCCGTGTAATTGTCTGGTAAGCCATAATTTTCATACAAGTTTTTCTGCCACTGCACCTTCATACTGAATTAAAAATGCCCTTGGCTTTAGACTTATGAAACTTTTATTCGCACTTCAATCAGACAAGCCTAAAGTAGTAAACAAAGTACTGTAATTTTAAAATTTATCATAGTCTTTATATTCGTAATAGTAGACAATAAAATATCCACCTACCACTTTTTGTGATACATCGAAATAATGACATTTTCACTTTAGACGTATAGAGAGCGCATTATTAATAAAATTGTTAATATATAAATAATCTTGTGCATATATAAGGAAATGTATTTCATAGTTTAATTAACATAATTTTATAGATAGATTTCATAACCTATTTTTTCAGAAGCTGTCACTAGGTTTGTTCTTTTTCGAAGCTGTCACTAGGTTTGTTCTTTTTCGAAAACTGCACTAGAACTGTACTAAACTAAACTAGCGCTTATAAACTTCGCTCTATCTTTCTTCCGCATCTAATGAGCGATAAAAATAGAATGGCGCTTACAGCGCGTGAGCGCCCAAAAGGAACGCAGTCTAGGACAGACCAGAGCAGACAACACTGGTTCACGTCAATGCAGTTTCCGAAATTCACTGCCAGTGATAAAATTCTATAGTATACGTGATATGAACTATATATTTTCAGTACTGGCAGTGAATTTCAGAACGCAGCCGCAGAAGACACTGCTGAATTGTCTGCACTAATGGCTCCTGCACACAGGACGCGGTAAAGCTTGCCGCGCGGCGGAAGTCCACGCGACAGCCAATCAATATACTGCTTTCCGTAATAACCTTCTAGCTCTTACGGAAAAACAACATATTGATTGGCTATCGCGCGAACTTCCGTCGCGCGGTAAGTATTACCGTGCAGGAGCCATAAGAGTAAAATTTTCCTCGGAAAGGACGTTTTGGAATACAATCCAAAAATGGATTTATCGCTAGGGAATTATCGTACGCTACGCGATAAGCGCTAGGAAATTTCGTGACAACCACGCGAGAGAGAACCGTCTGGAGCACTGACGGTCTTGACAGGTTTTGCTGCTTTTAGTGGTATTATATTTTCAAAATGGCTGCTACGAGAAGATTGCAAAAGGTAATTCGGAATTTGCTATCGTGAGGATAACGCAACGACGGTAAGACGAAATCGTCGCACGATGAACGAGTCTTTCTCGCGATCGATCGTACTCCACGAGGATGGCGGTCGCGAAGAATCGCCCGCGTACAGTCATGCTCTTCGTCACTGACACCGGACTCTTCGATCATCACTCGTAATCGATGCCGACAGTATCGTCATTATCCGATTTCCAAGGCCTAATTCGCGTATTCTATGTGAAAAAGCTCGTGCTGGTGCGCGAACACGTCGTGACTCAAAATTCAGCATACGACTCGACCACCACTCATACTTTTACCTCGCGACTTCTGACCGCTGCATTCTGACTTTTTTCAGGAGCTGGGTGACTTGAGAGCGTCGGCGATGAAAAACTTCACAAATATCCAAGTAGACGAGTCCAATATTCTCACTTGGCAAGGCCTGATATTGCCGGTACGTTTATATGTTTCCCCTCGAAGCTCGAGGACGTACGTAACCTAAAATATGCGCGCGGAAGTGCAAAGTGCACGTCTGTGAATCTTATGACCTATTTTTGTCCGGTATAAGGTCTTTTTCATTTTTCACGCTGGAACTGAAACAAGTGTGTCGTTTACGTTTTTGAAACTGAAAGAAAAGAGAAAAATGTGTGGGAAATTGTAAAAAAAAATGTGTAACTAGTGTGTATGCACCTTATTGCATTATCTTGATATGAATTTACATTTTTTTTTTTAATCTAATCTGTAGTCTCTCATCTGTATTGCTTAATCAGTACTTTTTATTTAATTGGTTTAATCTGCTTATGATTTTGTCATCCAGATTATTTTGGAAGATATGTAGTTTCTGTAATACTTTTTTAGATGTAATTTATAGTTTTGTATAATTTCAATAATATATAACACATATGCAATTTAGTTTTTACTGAGCATAAAAATAAGATATTTCTATAGGACAATCCACCATATAACAAAGGTGCATTTCGCATCGAAATCAACTTTCCCGCAGAATATCCTTTCAAACCACCAAGGATAAACTTCAAAACCAAGATATATCATCCAAATGTAGATGAAAAGGGTCAGATATGCTTACCAATTATAAGTGCTGAAAATTGGAAACCTGCGACGAAAACAGATCAAGGTCAGATTTTCTGCATTTTATTTGTATGACCGCTAATAATTGTCACTTGTAACCTACAATTGAATCATTAATGCAATAAAACATCTGTCTTTGACAGAAGACAAAGATGAAGTAGATGTCATTCCTTTTTTAAGAAAAGGAATAGTAGAATACTTTTAAGGAGAATATCTTGTTTGTATTTGCAGTGATCCAAGCTTTGATAGCATTAGTGAATGATCCCGAGCCTGAGCATCCACTGAGAGCAGATTTAGCTGAGGAATTTCTCAAAGATAGAAAAAAGTTTCTGAAGAACGCTGAGGAATTTACGAAAAAACACGCCGAGAAGAGGCGGGAATCATCGTCGTCTAACGAATAACCCCGAGTGATTAGCTTTACTCACCATGATGCCTGCCGCCCGTCAGCTGATTCAAACTCAAGCCAATGTATACCTGTCTGTTAATCCCTGTGAATCTCATAGATTCAATTGAATCTCATAGATTCAAGTTAAGATGACTCTGTACAGTATTGGTTAACTCCGATGATATGAAAATATACGCAAATTGTAATGTTTATAATAAGATGGAATGGACTTTCCAGAGTACAGTAAATTATGATAAATAACTGTATCATATTGTATACAATTTATACTTGAAGTCATATTATGCAGTTATACTTTGGTTTAACGTATCGAAGGTTCGTTACATTCCAGCTTGATCCTGTAGGAATGTATACGATGGTGAAAAATGGTTCAATGTAGAACCGTTTCGTTTATCAGATGTAGCAGTATATATTAAACCAACACAGTTTCCAATGTCGTTTAAGGTGTTAATTTATTGTCGCATTTCGAATTTATATAGCCACCGCTTTATAACTGTTAATAATCTTAAGATTATGACTAATAAACGACGAACAATGTTTGCTCTCGATTTCGAATCAATTTTTTGGAACAATAATAATATGATTAAACTTCCAATCTTGATATCAAATTATTATTCCAGTCTCTTTTTACTTATAGTATACAACATCACATAAAATTCCGAAAATATGTAATTCAATTAGCAGATTGATTTAGTTTGAGAATACCGACGAATGTCTTTTTCCTCTTGACTTTGAATGATTGCATCAACGACATTAGATATGCTTCACAAAACCTCGTATATATTTGATCATATCCTGTACAGAATTATCTTAAGTTACTTTAATATGAAATTTGTCTGGTATATAAAGTTTAAGTGTAAATTATATTGTGACGCTTGCGGCAACTACCAAAAATAAGAAATACGCATTTCAATATTTACATATAAGCAAGAGTTAAAACCAATCCAATATGAATCAAGATTTCTTTTTAAATATTATCATTTAAAGCATCAATGAAAGGAGTAATAGGTCTAAATGTAATCGAAAACATCGAAATGGGGTTTCTAGTCACTTTGTCTTTCTGTCTAATTGCTACAGCTTCCAATTTCTACAGTAGCTTGAAAGATTAATGTTCTGTGGAAATCGTATTGAAGGTTTTTCTCAAATATTCTAATAGTATATGGGTGAACAGATAAATAATCTGTAATGTATTATCAAATGTAGCTTGATAACATAGAAAAGTCGTGAGTTATGGGAATGTGAAATGTTTTCTTCACGTGTGTACACGCTGCGTTTGTTTGATATTTATACCTGTACAGGATTAAAAAGACCTCGGAAATAGTTAATCATTGATACAAAAACATCGTACCAATTAATTCATTTTGCCCATCCGTTTATGCGAGAGAATAATTTATAAAAATCTTATAATTTTTTTTTATAACTGAGATACATGTTACTTACATTTTAACATACGAAATGTATTGTTTTCAGCAATTTATAGTGAGATCTTGAGAAATGTATAAAAATGCTAAAAAAACTGTAGATTTCTTTTAGATTTGTTTTTATCATATAAGAATAGATAATTATACATAAAACATTAACAAAAGAGAAAGTGAGAGAAAAATAAAAAAAAAAACAAAGAGAAATTCATTTATATCGAACATAGTAAAGATATGTTTTAATATGTAGTACTTGAGAATCATTTTCACTTTATCACGAATTGACTACATAAATCATTTCTGTCCAGTATTATATCTCAATTACAAATTCCTTCAGACAATAAAATTTATTAGAATAACATTATGATCATTATGGTTATTAAATAATGCATCTCAAAAGCAGTAATAACTAATTGGACCTTCATTTATTCATATATTAATGTGTGAAATATATAAATACTGTGCATATGAGAATTGTATCCTTACCTCAGCCAATAGGCTTGTATTCCTATTATCATAAACTTTCAAGAAAATTTCAGCATTTATTCTTAGAATTATAAATAATCGCATAATCTCAACTTATGTAGGAAAAAATTGTTGGCTGTATATACAAATATATATATACACATATGTATGTGTAGATTATCTCAATATAATATATAAAAACTTTCATGCGAACGGTAATCTGAGGATAAAACGTATATTTTCTATCTGTTTGGCATAATAGACTTTGTATAAAGAATAAATGTCTTGGGTGAATGTTTCAGGAATAATAAGATACTGTGTTATAGGATTTTATTTTTATTCAGTTTCATGTAAGAAAGGGTAAAACCTTCGTTTAAATATTAAAACTTCTATATTAATAAATAAGGAGAATATAAATGAAAATACCACGATGTCGTTCATTTCGCCTTTTTTGCTCTACACAACGTGAGTCCGCATAATACATGTTCAAATTGAACTTCAGCATTTTATTAAGTTCTCCGTTCTTTATTTAAGCTCATACGCATATTTTATCCCGTTAACAAATTCTGCATCTCTTACAGATTCGTAGATCCCACTTTTGGCATACTATAATAAATATTCCGTGTTGTACCAAGTCAGCGATCAATTAAGTCGTATGAAAAAAAATAATTGAGAAGCTAGGTGGAAGAGGCGATTAGAAGATAAGCTAAGTGTTCATTATGTAAAAAAGTGTGTATATTTTTAATTATTATAAATTCGGAACAGATTTGAAATAAATATAATATATGTAGCAAGCACATCTAACGAACTAATATGTATATGTTCAAAATCTAGAGCTGCTGCTAAAATTTGACGTCTGTGTTTTTACGTTTTATCGGGAAGTAAACAAATTTAGGGGTATATAGAGTGCAGTCGTTATGAAAATAATATTGATTTGTTGGAAATGAGACAAGTATATTCTTAATAATACATTCACATCGCTTATTTACATATATAATAATCGGTAGACATCAACGTAAATAAAACTATATGTAAATACCATTTCTTTCCTAATTTCACGACATATCCGAATAGTATTTATGTTACCGTAGACAATCACAGTCTTATAAGTGTAGAAAAGTTCCTAATTGCAGTATTATCAATGCGAATCGTCGAGTTCTTGAGTAACTTAACGATATTTTACATCGTTAAAAACGCACATGTTAACTAAACTCTATCTAATTTAGAATACATATTTATTATATTGAGTGCTCACATGTATCTTCTATTGTAATCAAACAAATGCGAATGTTCGAAATGTGAAAGGTGTGGGAAGCGCATCGTTCAATGTTTAGAAAAAAAAAAATATGCGCATCCCCAATATTAAATCTAAGTGCGTATCATTCTTACGATACGTACCAACCTTTTCCACCAAACTAGTCAATTATCAGAAGAATATCTTGCCATTCATTCCAATCACAGGGATGTTCCGTCGCAACAAGTATAGGGTATGTCTCGTTCGTACTGGGTACGTTGTAATTTAGTGTATAAATATAATGTAAAATACAAGAAAGTAAATTTAGAGTTCAAATGACAAAATAACCCGCATCAAGTATTTCTCTTATAATTTTTAGCACTCGATAACGAAATGACACACGTCATGTTCATCTTTGATCTTATATAGATCTTTGATGTTTATATAGATTTATGTATATCTGTGTATGTTACGTGTGATAGTTACGGCAAAACAAAGATTAAACTATGATATCGTGATATCGTTGGCGCTCTATCATTTTCAATTACTTTTCCAATCGTATATTCCTGCAAAGAATATTACAGGTTATGAGTTGGGCTGCAAATATTAGATAGTTATCATATATCGGGACGTTCTTCGGAAATATTGTTTCCTCGTTGGTATGGAACATCCCTTGCACATGATCTCATTCTCAAACAGAAAATGAAATAATAACGAAGATAACAATGGCGCGCGACGTGAGAAATAATAAACTGTATAATAACGATGACGCGAATCGGTGAATAAAATATGAAGAATCATTAATATGTGAAATCAGAAAGAGGATGTATATATTATTACAAATTACTTACATGTTTGTACACATCCAATATTTGAATTCAGCATTAAGCAACGTACGTATACACCTTTCTGTTAATTAAAGTAAATCATCGATTAGTAAACATACAATTATATTAGCGGCGCTTTGCGTGTAACAATCTGTGCTTTACATACCGATCTTCTGGTGTGCGAGCCAAGTACTCTCGTTCAATTAAACCTTCGATACGTTTCTTAATTATTACAGGTGAAGGCAAAAATCGACCTCTTAATTGCTCAGTTACTTCTGTTACGAGTATGTTGTGCTGTAAGAAACAATTGGTATTAATTAATAATTATGCAGTATTATAGTTTGTTTTGTTAGAGCATATTTTTCAATATTTGTCAAGTGTATAAGTAAATTTTTCGTACGTACAGGCATACGCTTTCGGGCTTTCATAATTCGCACGATGGCTGCTTCTATTTCATGTTTTCGATCTTCGTCTACTTTATTGCGCGTCTCTTTTCTTTCAGGCTCCGATTCTCCTTTCGCTGCTACAGTCTGAATCTTTACTCTGGACAGATCAATACGAATATTTGGTATAAGATTCTCATATTATTTATATGTTTATTGTCGCGTATAAACGTATAATACCTGTGTAATTTACTGCTAAAACTATCGTTCACACAGAAACAATGCGAAGATTCAATGTCCTTGGTACGAGGGTGTTTGAGTAAGATTCTTTGCGTAGCTTTACCCATGGCGAGAGACTGCAATGCTCTGACCAAGTCCCTCTCTGGAATATCGGTTTCACCTAGAATTTCCTACACAATATTCATACATATGTATATATGCAATAGTAATGTGACACATTTCGGAATTTTTTTTCCATATACATATAATTAACATACACATATGATTAATCAGTCATTTATAAAAACTTATATCGAGACTGACCTCATATGTTAGCTTCTCACTCTTGTTGAAGAGCATTAACACACACATTTGGTAAGTGGAAACTTGTATTATGTGTTTTCGCGGACTACACGTGCTGCTTCTCTGGCTCAGTAAACTGCCACTCGCGTTACTACCATTTCCGAGAGAACTTGAAGACGACGGAGTATCCAAACCACCACAACTACTCTCTTCTCTACGTGGTCCATAAAATATCGCATTCAAATCTGCGGAACCTATGCAAATACGTTTGTAATATTATACTAGCACGCTAATGTAAAAAATGTACTTAAGCAGATATTAATGGATAAAAATGTGAGAAAAGAATGTAGTTTGGTACCCAATTGTGGTTGTAACGATAATTGTCGGCCGCTATGTTTAGCCAGATAGAAGCGTCGGAAGGCATCGAAGGCATCACGTGGTGCGGTGGGCATACTACATTTTGGAGTGGACGATTGCGTCGGCCAGAAACCCGTTGTGAGTACCCGTACACTTATTTCCACACCGTGTAAATTCGTCTGTATAAGATAACAAGTGTGGAAAGATAACACAATAAAAAATAGAAATCAATTCTTTTTTCAGGATACTTTTTAGAACAATATTTTGAGCGATCGTAAACAAAATAGAATTTTTTTTGTAAATCACGTAATTTAATAGAACGAATTTTGTTTTTGTTTGAAGAAAATTGTTAAGGCCAATATTTTATTTAATAATTTATTTAAATATTGATACATAGTTTATAAATGTTTTTAATTTCAATCAACAATATTTATATTACTTACACCAGACGCAAGAACATGATCTTTGAATTCATCCATGATAGTGTTGCTGACCGTAATATCCTTAAACATACCTTCCAATTTTGACGTGAACTGACATCCGCATTCAGTCTAAATAAATATTAAAGACGCGTATTATTAATCGTCTGTAAAGTGTATACATTATATAATAAAGCAACTATTCTTTTTTTATATCATTAATAAGAAACATATGAAGAAAAAATATGTCAATATAAACACTTTACAGAGATTAACATAATCAAGAAAAATAATTTTCTCTTATCTTTATGAAAATGAGGATATTACTATTCTACAGACAAATATATATTTGATAGAATACGCACTTATTTTAAGCCATAGACGCCTGGGCGCGCATATATATGGCATATAGTGTAAACTGCCCCGGCGTCTATGTGTTAATATACGAGTTTACAAACAGGATTTATGAATATGCGTAAATAATTATTTAAGAACATTGCTAACTTTCACTACGAAATTAAAAATTCGAGCAATTTTTTTATTATTCAATGTACAAATTTTTTATTATCAATTATTATGTCCAGGTCAATGTTGAATATTCTATTTGATAGAATCACTTACTTCAGAACTTATAATAAATTAATTTATATAAATTAATATATTAATTTATATAATTGTATAAATTAATTTATATGTAGAACCAGGGTTGGGAAAGTTACTTTTTAAAAGTAACTAGTTACAGTTAGACTGAAGTCCCATGGCATGTATTTTTCGCGTACCGCGTAAGCGCGTAACCAATAAATTGCGACGTTTAGTATTTCTGTTGAAACTTCTAAAAGAATAAAAAGATGTGATTGGTTACGCGGTTACGCGTTACACGAAAATACGTGCCATGGGACTCCAATCCTTACAGTTCCCTTTGAAAATGTAACTAGTTACAGTTTCAAATTACTAGCTGTGAAAAGTAACTCGTTACAGTTACTCAAAAAGTAACGAGTCGTTACTTTTAAGTTACTTTCTTGAAATGATTGTAAATTATTACTGTAAATACAAAAATCTTACATTTTAAGCTTTACTAAAATGTAAAGATTAAATTTTATAATATCTATCACATTAATTAGTCTATCCACTTAACAAATTTTAAATCTGTACTTAACATAATAAAAATTTAATAATAATCTTGTAGAGATAAAAGAATTTAATCACATGCTCCATAAATACGTTGATAAATTTATTAAATTAATATACGATTACTATATAATTTTTATTTTATTTTTTACGTTTTCCAAGTACCTATTAAAATAACTGTTAAAAAAGTTACAAGTTACTAAAAATAAGTAACTAATTTAAGTTACAGTTGGGAAAAAAGTAACTAAGTTAAGTTACAGTTACCAAAAAAATATAACTGTAACTTTGTTACAAATAACTAGTTACTTCCCAGCCCTGTATAGAATTTATTGTATTTATGTACAAGCGGCTATTGAAATATAACCTTTGCGAGGCTGACACATTACTCTTATTATTTCAAATATAAGCGAAATCAATTCTAATATGAATTAAATGTTCCCAAAATAAAGATTTGAATCTAGAAGATTAAAATTATATGATTTAAGTTATTCCTTCTTACCTTAAGTTTGGATATCATATTCTTTTCACTGTCATCTGAAACAGACTTATTCAACAATAACCGCTTGGCTAAATGTTGTTTATAGTACCGTTCAAACACATCTTTTTCTTGTAAAAAGCGGAATAAGACCATAGTTTTATCTAGAATTCCTTCTATCTCTTGCTCTGTCATCTAAAAGTAAACAGATTTATATAGAGATTTCTATAACACTCATAATTATAAATTAATCATGTATAGTGTAGTAGAATGCTACTTACTCCTTTAACACCCTTCTTCAATTTGTCATCAATAAAGAGTGAGAGATACTCTGGACTTTTAGCATTTAAGTTAAGGAAGTATTCGAAATCTGATGCTATCATCTGTTTGTAATTTTTATCATTATTGAAAGAATAATGTAGAAAATGATCAAAGCGATCCTTTAAGTCTAATAAGTTCTGGACATAAAGAACGGCGTTTGTAGTTGATTCGTGCTCTTCCTGCACCAAAGCGCGGCCTTGTTCTTTGAGAAACTGAGATACACAATCGCATACAGTACGTAATCCGTCCGACACTCTCGAAAATAGTTTATACATACAACCGAGGTCTTCTGTTTTCTGATTTTTGAGCATATGCACTACACCACTGTTCTCCATCTGTCACAAGAACAGAAGTGAATTAATAGTTTAAAACATGTATGATTATATATGTATGTGATAGTATAATTATATATTATGATTTAAATAAATCAGGATTATTGAAGAATAAAGTCACAATAATAACAATAAAACTGAAGCACCTCAACAATGGTTTTCATGTGTATTTTGATTAATTCTTCTTCTACGACTTCCACTATTCGCGGCTCAGTGGATTCATCTAAATAGTGTTTCGCCCTTTCGGATTCTTCGCAGATTCTAGCTTCAACTTTTTTTATATATACCGATGCGCTATTCTCTGCCAAAAATTTTTGAGATTCCATCTGAAAAAAAAAGGATGTTATGCGTTTAGTATACATGTGCGTATATTTAAAAATTAATAAATTAGACGTCTTTTGTAAACTAGACATTTTTAATTAACTAGACACTTACTCTATAAAATTCAGCACTTTGTTGTAAAAAAGGCCTTTCAAAATCTTCTTCATAAACTTGACGACTGTTAATCCCAAGTAACATCAACATTTGGCAGGCATTTTTTATAGCGCTACGATCTACGACTTCGCCTTTTCTTTCTCTTGCTACCATACCTAATAAAGTTTCTCGTAAATGATCTCTGACACATCCATATCTGACCACCTGAAATGAAAAATTGGTTAATTTAAATACGACAGATTTATATATGTATGAGACAACTTTGTTTTCATATATAAGCAAATATTGCATAAATATTGTCCCAAAACTGGTAGAACACCCGGTTAGGGGTAAGTAGGGGGTGCAATTTGGAACTGAAAGTTTCTCTTCCATTTTTGGATCCGACAATTAGTTAATTAAATCTGCCAATCCCTTAGCGCCCCGAGTGAGCGCTCAGGGACGTAGGACGCCATGGGCTCTTCAGGGGCCCTGCTTGTCCGTTTTTCTCCCCTTTTTGTACACACACACATACACACTAAAATCATTCACGGTACTCAACCACCGACATGCAGAAAATATTCAAGTCACCTACGTACTCGAAGGAAGCGTACCACACATATCCTCCCCCTCCGACATATAAAGCGCAATCATTCCGCCTACTCGCACCAAAAACATTCAAATTATTCATGCACTCATAACCACACACAAAATACTCACACATCACCCCCACACACTGAAAACTTGCCACTTTCCTAGCCTCAGTCAGGCACCCACCCACTCACTCATTCATATTTATTCTCGTGTGATACAAAAAAAGGGGAGAAAAATGGACAAGCAGGGTCCCTGAGGAGCCTACGGCGTCCTACGGCTCTGAGCGCTCACTCGGAGCGCTAAAGACCTTTGCCTGTCAAAAAGTCTTAACCGTAATTCCGTAAATTTCTAACACATACAATTTCTAACACATACGTAAATTTCTAACACATACAATCAGATAGAGCAACGCAAGTGAAAATTGACTTTACGGTTACGAATTTGAACTGGTTCTGAGGTGCAAAGGCCTTAAGGGATTGGCAGATTTAATTAATTAATTCTCATTAACTAATTGTTGAATCCAAAAATGGAAAAGGAACTTTCAGTTCCAAATCTCACTCCCTATCTACCCCTAACGGATGTTCTATCAGTTTTGGGACACCTTGTATACAAGTCATTCAATAAAACATAAATCATATTACAATGGATTTAAATCGCTTCTATGTTTATCTTTATAAAGTATCCTAATACAAAAACAAAAAATCGAAGAAAAGATTTTATAATTACCTGATCTCGAAAAATAATTAATCCAAGATTATACACGTTATCGACATCATTCTGTTGAACATACACTCTGTCCATATACATTAATATGTCCCTGATCATCACCATCGATGTCTGATGATCGTTCCACGCGAGATTTAACGTTTGTAAAAAGTTATTATGTAGAGACCGAAGAACATCTTCTCGCACTTTGTTCTCAAGATGGTGTGTTATAACTTCCTTTAATCCTGTATATAAACGTTCACCATATTTGTGAAGAACCATCATGTATGCATTGCGATAAAGTTCTTCAAAACTGAGGCCAGAATTATTTTTCTTTTGTATCTCCTGGATAGCGCTTTTCAGTAAGGTCCAAATGCTCTCGACATACTTCTCATCCATAGTTGTCTGTGAAAATAGAACTTTTGTAGTGGCCAATTACTTCTTGAACAAATAAAACTAAGGAATATATATTTTTCTTATTTGTTCTTTATCGAAATATATTGTAGCAATTTTCAATTGTCAAATAATTCATTTTATATTTCTTAACTGTAAATACAAAAAAAAATACAATATTTTAAAAATTATATTATAATACTGTGTGACATAGATATATAAATGACAATGATTCTCACAAGAATATAACTGTTTATAAGAAAATACATATTGCTTCTCTGTGTTAGTCCTGACAATAAAAATTATTTCAGTTATTCTGCTTCTTTGTTGGTCTTCATTTTTGTATTGATCCCTGATTCTAATTCTCTTTTATATACAGATTTTTTTATATATATTTACTTGTTATTCAATCATACATGTTATTCAACCTTGATCATAATAATATACACCTAAGAGTTACCTAATAAGAGTTTTATCTTACTAAACTCTTAATTATGCATCATTAAAAAATTAAATTAGAAACAACTAAATTCTAACAGACAAATTTTATATAGATTATATATATTATATAGATTTCATTATATTATGTAGATTACATATATATTATATAAATTTTAAAAACAATTTGGAAAATAAATATGTACAATATATATTTTGTAAAAAATTATACATACAATCTATATATACAAGTGAAATATTATATGAACATGAATTCTTGTCAATATTAGTGCACACACTGTTTTTTTTACATAAGTTTACTTTGTTTTATCTTTGTTAATTGACTTTTACCTTGTCACGATATGCAGTAATAAAAAGCAAGATGTGAATTTCTGACATTGTGAATTTTTAGTAAACAGCAAAATGTGGTGATATTTAAAATTTAGAATGCAGCATAACATAGTTATATAGCCACACTTTATCGCAACTGTCTTCTACATCGCTATGGTAACTGCCCAGTTGTTGATCATACTTATACAAGTGTACATAAACAGTGATAAAAATATTATTGACACATATTTATTAAAAATTATTATATATATTAAAACATTATTGAATTTTTTTAAAACATTATTAAAACATTATAGTGATAACATTCTTATGAAGCAAAATATGTATTAACAAAAACTATTAATTATCAGCGTGATAAGGAAAAATTTTAAAGTTCTATTCAATTTTGTTTGGAAATATTTGATCTTGAGTTACTAGCATCATGTACTCTTATTCTTTTTATCAATTACATATTATTTGAACTTGCATAAAGGCGACAGATTGTCCAATACCTAATGTTATACATTCGGAATATATTATGTAAAGTGCATAAATTGCACGAAATAAACGCGAATAAGCGAACATAAGGACCACAAACTGCAAGTAATCACAAATGTATTTGATAATATTCGAAACGTGAGTTTTTCATTCAAACAGAATCTTCTCATGCGAAAACAGGCATCGAACCATTAAAGATGCAAGCCACCAATTTGATACTCGACCAGTGATACAATCGAGCATATCGGTAAGCACCGTCCATCAGCTTGAGGTGACATTTTTCTTCGCGTTGAACGCGAAAATAACGCAAGGTACAGTAGGTAGGTTATGGGATTATGTTTATACGAGCCGACACATACACACACACGTACACAACTCGTGCACAATCGACATCGTGGCCGCGCGCGCAACACAGCAAAGGCGCAGAATGGATAAATAAAATCGGGAACACAGACGCGCGCGATGTGAGTACGGAAGGGAGAAGAACGGACGGAGGACACAGGCGTATCGAGAGGCACGACAGGGACAGCTGCCTGCCTTCGTTTCGCGTAGTGTGAATCGCTTCTTATCGTGTTACATCAGATCTCAAATTGTACTTACCGGAAAAGCACGTATGCGCATCTTGCTCTCCTTCTTCATCAGAGCACTGCTCTTCATTGTGTCGAATTTTTTTCGGTGTCAACCGACGCGTCAAAAGTATCTTCAGAAATGCCGTCGTCCCGACGATGCTGCTGCTGCTACTGTTGTGATAAGCGTACGGCGCCGCATACACATTGACACCGAAACACTTATTCTTTTTTTCTCTCCTTCTTTCCTAAGCACAGCAAACACTACTCATTTACGTATCGGGAACGACCGATGATCGAGGCCCTCTGTGTGACGAAGGCGAGCACTGTTGTGCTCGCGACAACGTGGACAGGACCAACGACAATGTGAACGACGGGTGGTTTTCTCCACGCGACCGCGTACATTTAATGATGCGTGCGACTAAACGCGTGTGAGACGGCGTCTCTCTTGTTCCCTACACTTCTATTTGTTCTCTCTTTCTCATTACCCCCTCACTCGAGGAGTAGCACCTTTTTTTCTTAACCCGGCAAGTGAAGCGCTGAAAGGATATATATGCTTTGGAGGATTAAAGGGCGAGAGGAAGAGCGATGACAACGCAACGACAATGGGCGAGAAAGGGAGGGAGGTGGAGAACGAGGGAGAGAGATAGATTGGCAAGCGAAGAAGCGGTGCAGCTTAAATGAACGAATGAACCAACGAATCGTATAGTTTGGAAAGAAAATATCGCAGCAGTAATCCCTGTCGACAATTCCGAGACGGTCCGAGCACACAGATTAATTTTTCTATACGTGTGTGTGTCCTTTTTTGTTCCTCTCGCCCGCCGCCGTTGCCGCGAGAGTCCCGACGCGGCGCTCTCTTTGGTGGTGTTGGTGATGGTGGTTGCTCGGTCGCGATCTCAATAAAGAAGCGGCGCGCGCGAGTCCGACCGCCCCCGTGACATAATTGAGTATTCGATACACACCGCGGCGTTCTTACGGGGTTCCTATCGTTGCGCCAACACTGACACCAACTCCTCCACCGCCGCCGTCCCCGTCCCCGTCGCCGTCGCCGCCGACAGCAGTATCCTATCACTGCCTTTCGTACTATTCGCGAGAGAACGATGCGCACAGAATCACGACCACCAACACACTATGAGCACAGGACTACACAAGACTGCCATCATGGACAACGAGGTGCGATCAGGCAGCTGTTCTCGAGCGTCGCAATCGCTTTATAGCGGTCAAATACGCCTTTACATTGGGTGCTTCCATCTGCTCGACTTGTTTTGCACGGTCATTTCATTGGCTACGAGTTATCTCGAGATGACGCATAGCTATTTTAAGGCTGTCTCGCGGAATGCAGTACAAGCAGTACTATTTTTACGACAGTCTGTTGATTTTGGAACAACTGAAATATGTGGATTTTAACACGTCAGTACTGTTTGCGTATTTCGGGAGAATTTAAAGCCATTTTACAATTGCGTAAAGGTAGTCACGAGTGGTTGTAAAGGCCATTCTACAATTGTTTAAGGCATACTTGTGAACATAAAAGCCAACCAACCCAAGTATTTTATTCACTGATTGCTTTATTCTGATTGGTTGTCGTAATCACTTACAATCACTCAGCTTGGTCTACAATATGCGGAGTAAGAATTGGCCAATCATAGCCGATTATTCTTGTAATCATTTCATTGGCTACGGAGTATCTCAAGATGAACTTAAGACTGCTTAAATATAAGATCCGATTATGAATATTAGTTATAAGTTCTGTTTAAAAACGTTAGGTTCTTCATTTGCAAGTGTCGTATCTACATGTTTGTGCGCGCGCATTACGATTTGATTATTTTTTACATTATTATTTGAGGAAACGATATATATTACTTCTTTTTAATAACATAACTTACGTTCTGTACGTTAATCATTCGTTCTGAAAGACACGAGGTGTGAAAAATGCATGGACTATTGTTATAGAAGTTTTATTTTTTTAAATCTAAATTAATTTATATATATATATATATATATATATATATATATATATATACAATTTTAAAAAAATACCTTAAAGACCTTAAAAATACCTTAAAAGTCGAAAAACATACATAGAACGTCTTTAAAATATCTTTTAAAAATTTGTTCTACTTGAGTAGATTCCCTTTTAAAGTAGACCTCTTCCACTCGTACACAAAGCGCGAACCGTTTTTTTTCAATCCTGAAAGGGGACTGCATAAGCTTCCTCTGGGATTGTCTCAAGCGCTGCCTGCGAATTTGCTTTAATTTTGTCTACAGTTTCGAAGCATCATCCTTTCAATGCTCCCCTTTATACGGGAGAAGAGAAAAAAGTCGTGATAAGTCAAATGAGTACGGCGATCATGGGACACCTGACGAAATGCTGGGTGAGATACTCCTCTGAGTGCGTTTGTGATAGCTTATTCCTCAATATCTTAGAGCAATATCATAGCAAAGTTTCCGAAAGCTTTTTGCATCAGTTAGTGTTTCAACTCCAGTTTTATCAAGTTTAACGCAAAATTTTATGCATATTTATCCCTACACAACACAACGTCTAAAATTGAGACACAAAACGTCTCATGTCCCGATTGTAGACGTTGTGTTGTGTGGGTTGTTCTTTAAACTCGTTTATATTTAAAAATCGTAGATGACGAAAATTACAATAAAACACTACCGCTCGTAGATTATGAACAACTAAATGAAACAAGTTGCAGCAACTTGCAGCGTACATAGTTGAAACATAAGACATCCAGTCACTGCCAAGCGAGAATGTTTTCATTACGCTGCATGCTGTAGAACGAGTCCCCATATTCTTCGATCACACCTTACATTTTATATATGTTAAATACATATAATCTGTATTTCCTCGTAAAAACAATTTTTTGGTCTGTATCGTACACATATTTTATCTACATTCATAAAAGCACACGTTACAAAACTACAAAGTCTTCAAATCTCACAAGGACGACCGAGCTTCTGTAAATGCTGTTATTAGGCCTCTTAAACACTGCTTATAAATATATAAAAGATATGCCACAAAATTATACATGTAACTACTATCAGTAATATTAATATAAAATTGATTAATATTAATATTGTATATATAATAGTGTATTTACATTAATATTAATATATACGAACTCTAAAATTGATACAATATTATTCTACGACAAATATTTGTATACATATGTTATTGTATCACAGAGCTTCTTTAATTTATCAAATGATTATTCTTGTAAGATCATCATAAATTTATGATCAGCTCTAAGAATCAGCTCTCAAGTATATTAAAATTGAGTCCATTCGTATAAGCTATTATTACACCTATGAGAACTATAATGATAGCTACGATCAACGCGATTTTACGCTTGTATCCCGTATTATCCTGGGACTGTTTTGAGTTGTCATACTTATCTCTCTTTTTGCGTCGTGGCTTGAACTTCTTCTCGAATTTCTCAATCTCCTCTCGATTGCGCAGTTCCTCCGCCTCTCGCTTCCTCGCCATCATAGCCTCTTGTGCTTGGTTCCTTTCGTTCTTCATCGACTCGCACACATCGTCACATTCCACGGTAATTTGCTTCTTCTGAATAAGCGAACAAAGGAAATCCTTCTTGATTCGCTTGCATTTGCACCACAATCTGACTTTCTTATTGCATTCCTCCCCTTTCGTACAAGTTCCCGAGTGACAATCGTTGACGCAACGATGCCCACATGAATACTGAAAAAACAGAAACATATTAATTGTATACAAGGTTCTCAGGTGTACCAAGTGAGAGAAATACAGCAAATGAGAGCTAGTTGTTGGTAGAGAGCGGTTATTGGTGTTTAAAAGTAACATCAACAGCGTAAAAGAAACGAAATTAAATGCGTAATTAAAATAGTTTGTTGGAAGTGAAGTATTGGGATTAATTAATATTAATAATTCGGGATAAAGGTTCAGTCTCTGACATGGAAAGCTGATTCACTGTTTCACGGTATTCACAAGTATTCCGGACAAACGTTCAGAACATGCGTTGACAAAGCCAGATATTATAATTCTCCCGTAAATTTAAAGTATTTGCACCAACAACCACCATTGGTCCTCATCTTTCTCTCACTTAGAGGTACATTATATTTTCTATCGAGAAACGAAATAATTTCGTCGTAATAACACAAGCGCAATTACATTTTTCGGGCATTGGTTGCCGCATCGCAGTAACTCGTTTCGTCTCTTGCTGCTTGCAGACGTCAAGTCGACGCAGTGTCTATACAGAGTGCTGATGCCGCAATGGCAAGAAACCCGCACCAGTTGCTTGCACGGCTTGCACGGTGCCGGATGACAAGGTTGCGGGCACGCGTGCGTGCAACCAGTTGGACGTGAGAAGAGGCATTCGTTCACACACTCCATGCACGGAGTGCCATTGCTGCTCGTACCGTCTACCTCGTTGACTGTCCCTACCTTGTGACATGTTAATTCGCAGGTGTGATTTTTACACGGCAGTGGTCGGCCGCAAACTCTACCGCAGGAGCTCGGTCTCGACATATGGCACGGCCAAGGGCGCGTCTCATGACCGCCTAGGCAAGTCACAGGCACGGAGACTTCGCACGGCGGGCACGGCAGGGTCTTCAGCTGCATAACGTCCTCCTGTCGTTTCTCCCAGGGTCCGATGGGCTGTGACTTCGCTCCATTTACTTTCACCTTTACCCAGACCTTGGTGTGGCAGGTAGCTGGACAGCAGTGGCCGCATCTCTTGTAGATCAGACCGCAGACCTTTTTGCACGGCGGACACGAGCCCTGATGGCACTTGTGCGTCTCTCGTTTGCTATGGTGGCAGATCGGCGGTATCTTGCAGGACTTGTTGCACGGCGGCGGTCGAATTCGTTTCCTGGTGCCGCACGGCACCGTGATTCTGCTGCTGCCGCATCTACATTGTATGACGTCCGTTCTGTTGCACGGATAGCACGGACCGCTGTGACAGGGCGCGGCGCATTTGTGCTTGCGGCAATTTAGCGTCTCACCGCAAATCTTCTCGCAGAGATTGGATGCGTTTTTCAAGACGCAGTCGCAACATTTTTTGTTGCACAGATGCCGGCCGCACAGGCGCGTCTGTGTGCACTTCTTGTTGCAATGAAACTCTTTCACACAGGCGATCTCCTTCGTGTAGCTGCCACATCGGCACGTCTTCGTCACCACCTCCAGGCATTGGCCACAACGATCCGTGTGGCATCTCATGTTGCAGTAGTGCGAGCCGCAGTTCAGTAACTTGCCGCAGGTGTCCCCGCATGCCGGCACTTGCTGCTGCCTGCAGGAAACCTCGTATCGTTTCTTTCCGCAGGGACAGAATCTGTTCTTCTCCATGGGACAGTCACCGCAGTCGCCTGGCAAGTGGCAGGTACTCTCGCAAACATGCACGTTGCAGGAAAACTTTCTGTTGCATGGTTTCTCACAGATCCATATACCCTTGTGGCATTTCTCTTCCTTCTGGCTGCTTTTGCAACGGCATTTCAATGACACTGTCTCCATGCATGGCAGACACTCACCAGTATGACACAAATTGCCACAACTGTGCATGCATGATTCGTATTTCGTGTTGCAAACGTTGCCACAGCTCCAGTTTTTGGCATTACAGCGACGTGGCTGTGCTGGTAGTTTGCCACAGTAACATTTTACCATGACCATCTTGGCACATGGTGGACACGGACCAGGATGGCAAAGCAATACACATTTATGGCCACATTCTGGTTGCAGCAATTTACCACAGGTTTCGCCACAGGAATGCGGGATCATCCATGGTTGATACGGAGGGTCTATGGTCTTTCTGCAGAAACACTTGTATGATCTTGGGATCTGATCCTGCCCATATTCCATACGACATTTAGGGCTATAATATATGCAATTTTGTTAGTATATCAAATACAAACTTTTATGTAGTTTGTACAGTTTTATGTTAGAGTAATTCAAGATATGTACCATGCCCAGATTTGGGTAATTCCTTTAGCCCGTTTGTAATTCAAACTGTCATTTATCCAATGTAAGATACAAGACAAATGGAGAAATGCATAGCATATTCTGCAGTTCCATATCTAAATACATATATACAAGAGGAATATAAGTGATGCTATTGAAAAATTGTAATTTTTTGCATATTTGGAGAGACAAGTTGAGAAAACATGTTACATTTATAACATAGTTTAAAGAGATTTGTGTGCTCTCTTTAAGAAATTTAATATTTGTATAAACATACAGTTTTATAAGTAGACTTATCTATACTTGGCAATTTAATTAAAATGTTATATCAATAAAATATTATTATGCTGTGTAAACTTACCGGATCTATTTTCTTGACAGTTGATATACATATCAAGCAAACTGCACTGCTGGATTGAAAAGAATTAACTAAATATGATATCACTTTTTCTGCATCTATCCCTTGTCCTTTATATGCAGACAATACTTTGTCCACCACATTTTGAACATCATCCTCATTTGTTTCATCTTCTTCTTCACTAGATGAGTTTAAGGATGCATTTGCTTCCAGGTGTTTCTCAATAGACAATTTGTTTTGTGCTTGAGCCTTCTTGAATTTATGCATCTTGAAGTTCCAAACTGTTATAAATCAATGATATAATCCAAAAATAACCTAAAAATTAATTTTATATGTGCAATTTATGTTACAATTTTTGATTAATTAATAAAATAATGTAGCAAAATAGTTTCTTTGTATAATATTCTCACATAATTTTCATGAAAATACATTATGTACTTTAGAGAATTACATACCGTATCTGTTATGCCGCTGAATAATAATCAGTTATTATTGAATTAATGGCAGGTTGTTTAAAAAACTGGTATTTAATGAACAGTGGAAAATTATTAAATAATAATGAGTCACATGTATACTATTTTGATATATAATCAGCGATTCTTCTTTTCCGCCGACTTTAAATCGGTAAAATTTAATTACAATAATTTAACTACATATATACACTTTCTCAAGTTTTTTTTATTACTGTTTGCGATTTTGCAACGTATACATGTAAAGCTTATCTAAGCTTATAACGGGTGGCCATGGCAGCGTAATGTATAGTTAGCGCCAAAACGGTTTCAATAGTTTTTCTAGATGCATTTAGGAACAAAACACGGTATCATAAGTATGTGAATCATTGTCACGGGGTCTGTTTTCTGTTTCTGCACTTCTGAACTGGTGCAATAAGTTAGAGTAAGACAAATATATTTTTTCTCGCTCTAACTTATTGCAACAGTTTAACAGTGCAGGAACGAAAAAACAATCTACGGGCTGAACCATGGACATAGTATACATGGGCCCATATTCTGAATCCTCTTTTTCGATAAAAGTGCCTTAAATGTAATTCAGCCAATCAAGTGGCTCCTAAGCCTCTTTTAGAGGCCCTTTTATAGATAAAAGAGGATTCAGAATATGGGCCATGGACTCCGAATGCCCTATGTTCTGTCTAATAGAGTGAAGCCAACATCTAGAAAGAGTTAGGATAGAGGGGCTATAGTTTTCTATCTATTTTGTCACTTTTTTGTTGCGCGTGCATCCATTTCTCGTTTCCATAATATTATAGAGTGCAACAGCATCCCGACTAGACTGGCAAGTAAAAGTCTTACTTAAATTTTATTGCATACTTTGTGCAGAAAGAGACAGAAAACACAGAAAGGCTGTACATATTGGCTTCACTTTTCTGGCCGTATGTGGGGTCCATGTATACTACATCCACGGGCTGAACAGCCTTTCGATTGCTGTCACAACCAATCATTGCGCAGGCTCATGAACAGTGGTTTACATATCTAGGTTACCGTGTTTTATTCCTAAACTCATTTAGAAAAACCACCTAAACCTTTTTGGCGTTGACCGTATATAGAGTAACCAACCAACCATAGATTTGTTCCTTAACGCTCTTCTTGAACTGTTCTGTAACTTACATATTTTTTCTATACATTTTTTACGATAAGTTAATGTAAGTATAATAGTTATGTATGTACAGTACTTCTCTACGATAAGTAATATAATATTGCAAATAATAATAACCATCTGTAGAAAATATTATATATTGTTATTTATAGTAAAATTATATATTGTTACATACTTTTTATATAAAATCTTACTCAAAGCACTTGTAACAGATCGTTTACTTTATATTACAAATACAAAGATTGTGTTTGCACAATGTGTAAATATAATTACCCAGAATTACTATAAATTTGTAACATTTAATCTCAGAAGTGTCAGACTTACAATTACATCGTAACTTCAGTAGGAATGAGATCATTAATACTAAAGCTACATTTGATATGTAGAAATGTTAACATACATATAACTGTAATACATATATTAAATTTGTGCACTTAGTCTATTATATATTTGTATTGCATTAAGTAAGGCACTTCCAATTATATATCGAGCAAGGCACTTAATACATATTGAATTATGTATTGACAAGGATATGTTGTATTCCAAACTTGCCTATATCATTAATATTTAAACTCAACATGTGAAAATATATAAAATGTTGGCAGTTTAACAGCAAATTTGTTTAGAATATTATAACGTAGCATCTAACTATGTATTATGCTATATATAAAGCTCATGTCCTATTGGTAGAGCTTGTAGATACAATTTAATAAAATTGGCAGTAGAAACTGAGCAGTGTCTTCCGTACATTCAACTTAGGTGCTAATTGTAGATTCTGCTCAATTTTTACAGTCATATTTTGTTGATAGCTCCTATTACATATTTGTTGACACTCTGTTAATGAAGGTTTGTAGCTGAGACATTGTAAAATGTTTTGAAGAATTTGACAGAGTCTCATAGATTACATTTTGTAGAAAATCTAAATAAAAACATCTATTTTGTGCTTTACTATTTACTCAAGCATTCTCAGTTACCTTATGTAACGATTTGATTTTTTAAAAAAGTATCAGCTTTGTAAAACAATATAAAATACGTGATATTTACATAATACTTAAAATATATAGATGTGTTCTTTTTCTTTATATATATATATAACAATTATTTTGTTCTTATATATGGACGGATATAAAATAGCTACTGTAGGTGTTAATTGCATAATTGTTAAAAACTATTACTTTACAATAAAAAAAGTTAAGATTTAAAAAACTCACTAATTATCATCTTAATAATCGTATACGCAAATAATATTAAAAAATTGTCACATTGCACTCAGAATATCTATAGATGTAGCTAATAATTTTTGATTATAATTGTTTGTAAGTGTAATTTGACATTTCATATAATATTGATAGAAAAAATGATAAGTTTTATTAATAAAATTAATAAAATATTTAAAAACCTAGATATAACAAATAAATAAAGCGATTGTCGATTTGAAAATATTGGTAACTTAATTATTAAACGGCTGTTTGCGGTACTCCCTGCACTAATAGAGTCCTACTTTTAGCTTTCGGCAGTGCTGATTGACTCATCGCTTTTGTCAATTTAGGCTGACCATTAGGTGAGCTTGTAACAAAGCCTTCCGATCTCATATCTTTCAACGAGACATTAGAATTGCTTCGTAACGAGGGCGTGGAACTAAACTTTCTGTTTTGCGCTAAACGTTCTTGAAGTTTCGTTTCGTTTTGACGTGGCATTCTAGTCTTTATCGGAGGTACGTCGCGATATTCGTATATGTTTTCCTTAGATGTACGTGTTAAATTCTCGATTCCCTCGGAATGTTCGTCGTCTCGTACCATCAGGATGTCCCCGCTATAGTAGTGATCAGATTGTCTGCAGAATTAAATTGATTTAAATAGATAGAATCCATCGAAATTAGTAGTATTTAATATTTAATACTTTTTTTATATTAATATTTAATACTTGGCTACTTCTATTTTATTATCTAGTTTGGATTTCTGCATTTATTTGTCTTATCAATTATATTAGTAATATATAATACAAATAACACATGCAATTAATAATAAAGCGTGCTTGTGATGGACATACTAAATATGAAAAGTGCATGATATTTTTCTCATAAATACCTGCACGCATCCTAGCTGCCTTAGTTTTGCTAATTGTAAGCAGAAATGGAGTTAATTAGCAATTTATATAAAGAAGTTATGATTAAGAAAATAATATAAAAAAAAAGCCGCGCAACATTATCATAATATCGCAGTGTCACGCGCAAGAAAGTTCGCGCAAGTAATCACAAACCAGAACCAATTTCCGCATGCGCTACCGTTTGGTGCAGCCAGTGCCGCCGAATGAAGCTGTAGACACATGGATTTGGTTCTGTTTACCTTTTCTTACCTTTTGGCATTGCGCCAAAGCATGCAACACACCACAGCAAGCACGAGTAACAGCAGACATGCCGCTGACATTGACCAAAATGCAATTTGAAGTGGCTGCTTGGGTTCCCACCAATACTGCAATGAAAATCGCAAATGATAATTTATATAATTTCATGAAAAAATAACAATGTGTTCCGTATCCTAATATTTTACCTCAGTAACAGGAGGATACGTGGGAACAAGATAACCAATAACAGTTGGCAAATACATGGACCAGAACGCACTTTCTGTCTGGCGATAATTAATTTCGATAGAACTATTAAGCGTCGTATTGATATTGAGATATCGCAATTGTCCATATCGAGCGACATCAAAGTGTAATCCCAAAATTTGCGAAGGTGTTGGATTTCTGAGACAAATGGATTAAGTCATTTCAAAGTTCCTGAACTACCTAAATGAATTATTAGCTACATACCCGTATGTTGCAAAATTGGAGTATGCTTTCATGAAGAAATGACTCATATTGCGATCACTGTCAGTCCACATATCTCGACTTAGTTTCAATCTTTGTGGGAAGAATTCTGCATTGACAACATTCGATTAATAAGCGATGTAATTTAAGAGAGAAACATACGTGAAAAACATACCAGAATCCATAAACGGCGCCCCTGTTAGCCACAGATGTTCTGTATCGTGAGATACCCTGGCCCAGTGTGGCAAATTGAATGATTCTATCGAAGTATTCAGAACATACAGATATGTCGGTACATGTTTCTCCACCAGCAATTTTGCTATTTTATCGTATGGCGCGACATAGTGAAAGTCCGACAAGAGCTGAAAACATTAATAGCAGTTAACACAATATAATAATATACTGTAGCCAAAATTAAATTTGATTATTCTTATTACTTACATTTATATACTGATCGCGTATATGCGTAACGTTCATTGGATCTGGCCAATACGTGTACATATATTTTATTGCTTCATAAACGCCTTGTGGATTTAGAGTGTAATTATACTGAAGAACCAATTCCCATACCTTTTCGTCAAACAATTTAGAATCAATTGTGTATAGATTCCTTTGTAAAGTTACATTATCTTCTGCAAAGCGCGAATTAGATGTAAGATAAAACTCCAAGTGAAATAACAAACACAGTAAAGTGGAAATAAATTAAATAATCAATAACATACTTATAATAAATGCTGCTTCTTGAGTTGTAATGCCAGCCATATAAGCTAAGTCTTTTCTATATCTTTTAGCTTTAATACTTTTTTCCGGTGTTTCAGCAAAGAAACGCCAGTCGGCCGCTCTCCATCCTTCATACCAATCGTCTTGAGGTATCGTAAAGTTAATATCCAATACAGGCGCCCACGGAAACATTCCAATGTTTGGCCTCAATTCGGAGTTGCCTAATTCGAAGGGACTACGTCCGTCTTTCAGGCATTGTACTAATTTCCAGCTGCTGTCTATACTACATCCTAACATGTTTGCATATACTCGGGATGTGTTTTGTGCTCGATACTTGTCCATGATTACCGCCCAATCAGCTAAAGCCGAACCTGATTGCGCTATTACTTTCGCTACCAACTCTCGCGTTCTACAATGAAATGAACAAGCTGGATTGGAAAAGGAATATACAATATAATAACATATTAATACTAATTTCTTTTTACCTAGGCGCAACCATTAATAATCCTGCACTCGCTGCTCCTGCACCAGGACCAAAAAGTGTTATAGCTTCAGGATTTCCATTAAAAACTGCGATGTTATCATATACCCATCGTAGAGCCATAGCTTGATCAAGAATTCCATAATTACCAGGGCTATTTTCATCTCCAGTACTTAGAAATCCTGTAAACATGTGTAAAAAAAGTTCTTACTCTACTAATATTTATATAAAATTTAGAAAATGTTTTTTCCTATTTCTACCTTATATCTAATTCTATAACTCTCTCTGATTTCAAATTAGTGAATTTAAATGACTAAATCAAGATATATATTTTTAAGACAAATAATCGCTAAACATGTCTAAAGCAAAAATGTAGTTTTATTATGAACATGTCAATTTGTGATATGGCTAATCAGAATAAGAACTTATTTTTCTTAATGAAGCTTTATGTGATGACTAAAAAAATATACCATAATACATATATTTTCTGTTTTTATGTACTCACCAAGAGCCCCAAGGCGATAATTTATTGATACCACTACGACATTATAAAAGGCAGCTAGTATATGAGCAGGGAACAAGTTGCTAGCTCCATGAGTAAATTCACCACCGTGTATGTAGAACATCACTGCATACTTAGATGCCAGCCCAGCACCAATATTGGGTGTAAACACATTTAAGTACAAGCAGTCTTCATCAACATCTCGTATACCTTTTGTAGCACCAGTATATTCACTCGGCTGTGGACAAGCTGGACCCCAATCTACAGCTTGTAAAAGCTGCCATCCTCTATGAGGTCTGGGAGGTTTAAAACGGCCCTCTTTTACAGGTGGCAGTGCATAAGGGATACCCAAAAATACATTGACAACTTTTGTAACTCTATCTACTGTCGGGTTCCACGGTCTCTGTCTTGAGAATGGATCATCGTACAACTGGACTTTAAATCCTTGCACTTGTCCATAATTTGTATTCACGATTATGTTTCTGTCTCTAAAAAGTTTGGAGTCTGGTCTTTCTTTTCCTTGAAGATCTTCACGCCAGCCAGCCAATATTCCTGGCAATGGAATCCTTTGTGTTGAATGCTTCAAGATAAATTAATGTTTAATTAAAGATTAACTTAAATAAAATATAAAAGAACATTAGCAAACGATATTTCAATATCAATCAATATTAATTATTTCGGCTACAGTTTCTTCACTTACGTCGTACAAGTAGCGATCCTCGGGTGCCCTTGTGGGTCCTCTATCAAGAGGGTTCCCAATGCCATATCTCCTGTTCTGATATATGTACGTATTGTAGACGTTCGGCGCGGCCTGCGGCGGCACGTATACACCATCGCGGTTATAATATCGTCTGTTTAACGAGATCGACTCCTGGGCGAACGTCAGGCCAGTTGTCAACAGGCACAGACTACAAACAATGACGCTCCCCGCGGTCGCGCGCTGTCCACGCACGGCCATGTTCACACGTGCGGGCCGCCGAGAGCGACAACACGCGAGAGGGGCTCTCGCAGGTGTGGCTGGGGGACCTTACGTTACTATACGACGCAGGCCGACACACACTGCAACACAAGGAAACGGTACCACGAGGAACAGATGAAAGCGAAAGTATCTCGCTCGTTGGTTTGCGCGAACGGAGTTTTCGTGGCGAACAAAGAACGGACCGATAAGCGTGTTATCGATTGCAGCGATGAGCAGCGCGTCAACAGAGAACGGGCAGGTGTCCCTTCGCGAGAAAAATTGTGTCACACGCACGATTGTAGTAGTGCACTTGTCATGTACGTCGTTGTGAGTACACAAGAGAGAACGTAACGACACTCGTTCACTCTCACCGAGAGAGACGCGCGAGCAAGAGTGCGCGTTCCAAGTATCGTTACGAAACGCCTCGCTCGTCGCGGTCACCACACGCGCGCATGGCAGCGTCTCCCCACGGCCAACACCCTACCGCCCGTCACTATCGTTCGAACACAACCGTTTCGCGCGTAGTTCAGGCGTAGTTCGTCGCACGCACACGTCGCGTCCCGCTCCCTCCCCCGCACTGTTCACTAATAATGGAGGTCGAGTTTTTTATTTCATCGATGGATTCATCGCATGATGCATAAATGCAGCGTTTCGCTATATTTACGCATCATGCGATGGATTCATTGATGAATTAAAAAACTCGCCCGATATGTTAAGCGGATGACACAAAAAAACGTGAGCAGTACAAGTTAGACAAATTGATCAGTCGATTATTCTCCTTACAGTCCACGAATAATTAATTGTGATCAGTCAACTTTCTTACCTGTCTTGCTGCTTACGTTTTTTTGTGTGCCATCCGCTTTACAACACTTTCTACGAGGAACGCGCGACGCCGAGCGTGAGGTCAAGAAACAAAGTTTAAAAGCGAAAGACGGCAACGCGCGTTCGCGTCAACGACGAAGTGTCGCAGTACAATTACAATTTACAAAATACCGAATACAATTTCGCCGTGCAAGTTCGATCTTTCGCCACCATTTTGAAATGTCAAAGTTTCGAAATTTCGATTTTCGATACGACGATCGATACGGGAAATTCGCGTCTCACTTCGCACGTATCGTCGTAAACAAGTATGGCGCGCGACGGGGAGACATAGTCGGACGCAGTTAGTCTGGTCAAGAACATTTCGTGTCACATTTGCATCACGGTGTTATCACTCGAGTCTAAGGACGCGGAGAGGATACGCGAGGGAAGTATATGATTTCGTAGAAAACGAGACTTACGTATCGTTCCCGTTTGTATTACTAATCGAATCAACCAGTTTAGTAATCTCAGGCCGTTACGAGGAAAGATGACGAGTATTGACACGCCGATCACCGCCGACTCATTCACGGATGACTGTCTACGATATGGCCGCGAACAGCCGAAATTAAGATCGCCCGCGCAGACACACCGCCGAAGCAGTTGGTAGCGCGTACAAACTCGGATCTAACTCGCGCACTGACCAGCCGCGATGGATATAACATCGCAAAGGGCAGTGGCCGGGCCTTACCGAGCCGAGTGGTAATGATGCCGTCGCGTGTACGCATGTCGCCGCAATGGGGCGGCAATGAGCCGCCCACGCGCCCAACAACGCGGCGATATCGTTGCAAAATGATGCGCCGGCATAATTGAGCGGATGTGCGTGAGATCGCGGAAGAACAAGGGCGCAGATAAAAGAGGTAGATTAGAATTATAGTCACCGTTGTGGCGTTAGCATGTGTGAGAGTATGGACCAAACACTTTTGTAACTTTATGTAATACTTTCAAGTGACTTTCTTGCACGGAGAAAATATAGTTTCCTTTTTGTATAATTCTTTTCAATTTTACTATGTTTCTATAGTAGTCCAGGAATAGACTGTCAAATGAGTTGTGTCTCATTAAGGAACATAGTAAATTTTGTTAGAAACACGGCTGATTTTACTATAAACATAATAAATGTTTTAATAACTTACTTCACTTTCTGAAATATATAAGTAGCACAAATGAGATAAAAGTGATAATGAATTACTACAGAATCTATTCCTCGGTTGCAAAATCTTCTATTAATTTTGGCTATAAAATTCTTTCCATATTGGAAATTGATTAATCAATGTTTGTTTTTGTCTTACCATTTTATTTCTCTTAAATTTCAAAGTTGTTCAAGTTCCAATACTGAAAATTGTACTAAATCTTATATTTCACACTGACTTGTGTGATTGATATAATATGAGAATTTACGTTTTTCGTATTTCGTTCTGTTATTTTCTCTTTTGTTATAGGGAATTATGAAAATGTATGGAAATTTTGCATTATATGGGTGAATGAGTGACCCAGTTTCCTCTTCTACTCCCTGTCAACCGTAGATTTTAATCTATGCACGATCCTGTGAAAGAATGTCGCGTGAACGGATATGTTACACAATTAGCGATTGGTTCGTGCGTTCTGTATTTATCAGAGGTGTTTTTTTATCTGTGACGATATTAGATATCGAAGCCACTACGTTGATGGATTCTAATTGCACGCAATGTACGGAGCCGCGTATTTATGTCACATATTTCGCCGTAAATGCGGCCCTTTCATTCACGGCCTCTGCCTACAATGAATGCGATTAAGTAAGTAAAAAAATGCTACGTCCGCATATTACGGTTTGCGTCAAGTTACATTCTGAACGAAGCTCTCCAATTAGTTTTTTCTCATCTTATTTCTTTAACTCGATTAAAATCTGCATTTGTCTTGAGTCACCGAACAAAAATAGAAATTGAGAACACTGATTTCTCGTACAAAAATTGTTAAATTGGCGCAAGGAAAGTTTGTAGCTTCTTATTTACCGACATTACGAGATTGTCCACTTTGATCACTCTCAAATCCGATATCATGGAGTTAGCGTCGTCCGTATGTTCGTTTAAGCTGTTTAAAGAGAAAACTCTCCGGTGTGTCGCAAGCTCTACGACCTTCCCGAGCATCGAGCTGATCAGCAGCGATGGATGCGCGTGATTGGAATAAATCTGCTTGCCATGGTTCGTTAGAGTATTCGCCGGTGTCACGTTTCATCGTTCGAGCCAGTTTCATGAAACCGTTAAAAGCCGGCTTTTGTAATTGTCGTTGCAGTGTCGTTCGGTTTATTCCAAAATGTAGTATAAAAACCGTCTCGACGTTCCTCGCGTATGAATCACGTGCCTCAACCCGGCTTCTATGACTCATGATTTTACCAACTGAATTAAGTATTAATCGTTCGTTAGTGGCGCTACTTGTGTCACGAATGAAATACGAGAAAGTACGCCGTAAGGAAATTACCGCGAAACTTGAGAAATTGTCAATTAAGTCTCGATGTAACGCATCGATAATAATAGTTCGAGATTCTTTCGAGCAGGAAATAAATAAGATTAGATAGAATTCAATTTCTCGTATTCTTAGGAGCAAGATTTTGTTAAATTCTGTGGAAAGTTACTACACTGAGAAAAAATTCTTGAAAATTTATTTGTTTATTATTAGGATATCAAGTTTATTTCTGTGAATAAATTTTATATCCCACAAATAAATTTCCAAGTATTCTTGTCTCAGTGTGGTAAAAAATGTTCAGAAATTGCAAAAGTGACGCAAAATCCCCCCTACAAGAGACAGTCGCGAGAACGTATTCCGCCAAGTGCCACACGCATTTCTGTAATATACCGTAATGATCAATAGACACAACCATAGTAATAAGTTACAATTACGGACATGAATAATTCAAAGGTGGCCGGAGCCACCGAGCTTGCAAATACCAGTTTATGCGGGATGTTCCGTAAGGAGGAAATTGCGGAAGCATTAAAAAAGAGCATCTACATTTATATTGTACGATAATAATGTAAGCCGCGGAGAACCGTACAAGCGGGATCGTTGTTACATTATAATCTCACTAACGTATAAATTAATTCAATTAATACGATTCACAGATATGATTAGTCGAGGGATACAATCGACGGTTGTTTCTATATGATCTGTCGCCCTTCAATTACATCCGGGTGCGATTGAGTCTTATTGCAGATTCGATTATCGAAGCAAAAATTCCAAACAACGATATCGCTTGGCATTTAGAGATATTACGGGTATTACGGGAAAAGGCGCTTGCTGGCGTTGCGGCGACGGTACAGCGGATACCCTTTCTCCTCTCGTCTTACTCCCTCGCACATAAGTTCTTCAATTTATAGTAATTGGTGAATTTATTACCATTCCTGTCGTAACACATACACACTTTACCCATACGCCAGTACAGTCCCGGTGAAGAGTTAAATGGCTTTAATTGCAATGAGTTGTCGTGTTCTTGCCTCTCTCGGAAACATCCAGTTTGACGGAGTAGCCTCGTCTTCAGTGTGAGAAGATGCGAGGTGAAAGGGACGGCTAGAATACTATAGTTGGAAAATATCCGGTGATTGGAGCCATTATATATGTGTTACTTAAAATTGACAAATCGGATAGCTTCGTTCCCGGCAGCTTCTTCATTTCGTTACATCGACACAGTCCCAAACCAAGATTTGCATCTCTATGTCCGAATACGAGAACCGACATAAACCAGTTTATCTCACGTATTTTTACAGCGACAACGCGGAACACCTTGCATGGACAGTCGAATTCGCACGACTTTCTTTTGCGCTGAAACGAATCGTCGCGACGCGCATTGTCGACTTTGTCGATCGCGCGCTTGACACGGGTCTACGAGAAATTGGTGTCAGGAATGCAAATTCGTAGAGAACATGAAGCACCAGGGTGTCGTCCACCACCACCACCACCATCACACCACCATCATCATCACGCGACGTCCGACATTCCCGGCAAAGTTGGTTTAAATGGGCACCATTATGCTCGTTGTTCATGTCCCGTCGTGCGTACATCCCTTTTTTGTGGGAACGTGGACATTACGGCGCTCTTTGAACTCGTGGGAATAAGACCCACCGCGGTCAAGTACGGCGGTTTATTTATTTTATTTATTTTTGTCGTTCGCGTAAATGTGGTTTTAATGTGCGTGTTGACGCGCGCGTGAATACGCGCAGTTGAGCTTAAGTACCTTAACTAAAGGTAATACGCGCGAGATACTATTCTTAATAGCTCTCATTAGAGCACTCTGTCAATTTTCTTACGTAGTATGTCGTTTACTGTCTCGTGGATCTTGGAATATGTCTACCGTGTACGATTCTCTCGCAGTAATAGTCTCAGAGTCGAAAATTGACACGAATTAGTAGATAACTTATTTCTTACATTTTAATTGTACATCTTCAATACTCCTCTCTTTTACGATAAAATTAGTTCTGCTTGTAACTCCGCACCCCACGTTCAAAGGAATTCACCTAATGCAGTTCGGTTATCAAAGTCCGGTCCTAAAAATTACGACTATCGCTGTGTCGTAACGTTACAAAAAAGGCAGGAATATCATAGAGGGATCAAAGTTGGAAATATCTGCGCGTATCTCGGTGTCAGAGTCGGCGGTGGCGGTGGCGGTGGTGGTGACAGTGGTTAGTTAGTGGCGGTGATGCCCGAGTGTTGCTCCACATGTGTGCATTCGGCGCACAGGGCATACTGATCGGAGAGAGGGGTGTTGGTGGTGGTGGAGGCGCGCGTACGCTCTGCGGGGCCCACTTGTTCGCCGGTGGGTTGGCTTGACATTCGTGAGCGCGTTGCCGGTGCGGCAACATCGGGTACTTGCCTTGCTTCGGTGCGATTGACGGCGTTTACGTCTTCGCGTCCGTTGTCGAGGAAACCGTCGGGGCCACCACGAATGTCACTCACTTGAGGCAAGACTACGGTTCCCTGTGGGAGAACTGGAAGCACCGATCTGGTAATAACGAGTCATCCGAGATCGTGACTGAGACGTTGAAGAAAAAGTGCACCAAGTACGGAAACGTGTCGAAAAGTCGCATCTTAGAACGTGAAGAACATGTTTTAAGAGAACGGAGATAGAGAGGAGAGAGAGAGAGAGAAGTTCGGACGTTTATACGTACAGTGATCTGCGCATCTGAGGAACAACGAAACCGAAAAATGACGACCGAGTCGTTGTCGCGCGAGGTTGACGCGCATATCGTCACCATCCTGACAAGGCTGTCGACCCTCCGGGAGAACAATGCCGACGTCGTCGAGAGGAAGGCACCCATGTCCATTGAGGCCCGTAGTCTGGAGCTGTGGCGTGCTGTGGCCGTCGAGTGCTTCGCCACTTTCCTCTTCAGCCTAGTAGTATCCGGCGCGGCCGCGGCCTCCGCCGTATCCGGAAGCGGACTCTCCGTGTTAGCTACTGCGGTGGCTTCCGGCTTCGCCATCGCCGCGATCTCCATCATCTTCAGTCACGTCAGCGGTGAGAATACTATTATTATCGTAATTTTCAATTAGTGCAATTGCAGAGTGTGAACTAAACGTTATGTATACGTGCTGCGTAACATCATGCTTAAATGTTTATTTTTGTACTAGCAAATTGCATCATGTCGGTTGATTCCTATTTTACTCCGTTTTTATTGATCTTTTATCTTTTTCTGTTTATAGATAGAGACAAATAAAAATCATCGTTGATTAATGTTTGTTTCTATACTAAGAGAAGAAATATCTAAGAAATAATAAATATTTATTCACAGTAGATACTAATAATTTATTTACTTATACTATTAATATAAAATATTTTTTAAATATTTTTTAATAATATAAAATATTTTTTAAATAAGAAAATATAAATTTTCTTAAAATCTTAAGAAAACCTCTCTTAGTTTCTCACGAAAGCAATTATATATTCTATTTAAATAAAAGAATTTAGATTTAAATATGTTATAATGTATCCACTAAATAAATATTTATTGTTTTTTAGACATTTTTTTCTCAATATACCAATGTTGAACTTTAACCTGAGTTTAAATTCTCTTTAAAGACCAACTCATAATTACTCTTCTGGAAACGAGTAGAAACCGTCCATAAAAGAAACGTTTCAGTCGACAATTTCAGCGAAATTGAACAGAAATTGAATAGAAAACATTCAAACGTAAACGTTACATTGTAAACGATGGCTGTTTCTCTTCACGGACATTCACAGATACACTTTAAATATGATCGCATGACAGTGTCAATAAACGCTTCGTTTGACTTACGATCGTTTTCGATTGCGACTGCGACGCGCTCGTGTGTCTCCTCTACAAAGCAGTCCAGAGGATAATTACGCGAAGGGTCGCGAACTGCTCAAAGCAACTATCTCGTTGCGTCAATGGTTCTGTTCCTTCTTTTGTGTGCCGTATCGTTCGCCAGCGGCCCTCGCGATTTCTCTCGATTGGCTCGTTAACTGATTACGCCGGCCGATGTGGATATTAAGCGCTGCGTGTGCATGCCAGTCGGAACGTATGTGGGCATTCTCGGAGTACGTTCCACCGGCATGCACGATGTGTTATACAAACTTGCAGTACCGGCGTACAGAGAGAGAGAGAGCCCGGTGTATGATAGCCTTAACACTTACATTATTGGGGTTACCGCGATTTTCAACGATACGCAGCCCTGCTTAAAATGATGCATACAAAGCGGTGAGATTACATTACGAGCGGTCCGAATTTCAATCAATGAATGTAAATCAATCATCGTCTCATTGATCACATTGAAATTCAGCCTCATATAATGTTATCGTTTTGTATCAATCATCTTGAACAACGACACGTGCGTACACGGTTACAGATTATGTTCGCTACGTTATCAAGGCTGTTTCACGCCGGTTTCTGTACCGCGGAAACCTGATTGCACTCTACGTCATTCACTCTCGCTTTACGACGAACGAGTGAGATACACACACGCTCCAATTAGAATCCGTCGTAGTTCATTGAACAAGCGTTTGCAATTATTCGTATTATCTCAGCGCGATCGACCGCCTTTCCGATAGGAACTTTGGACGGATTAAGTTGACAACTTACACGACAGAGCGCAATAAACAGATGAAAGTCGTCGCTCAGAAAACACATCCAATGCTTATTTTGTCACTTGTCTCGTAAATTTTTAACGAAATAAACGTAATAAGCAAAAGCTGCTCTCAGAGAGGAGCGTCTGTCGAACGGTAGAGTGCAAGCGTGAAAGAAAAAAAAAAGAAAAAAAAGTCGCGCGATCTCCGTCCGTCGTCTTTGATGCTTCCCTCTTCTTTATACGGAAATCCTTTTGCACGCAGGTGGACACGTGAATCCAGCGGTCTCCGTTTCGTTCGCTTTGTGCAGACGGATCTCTCCGCTTCGCGCGGTGCTCTATATAGCGGCGCAATGCGGCGGCGGGATAGCTGGAGCGGCGATGCTTTATGGGTGAGTTGTATATTCGATTTATCGTCTTTGAGAAACGCAGCATCGTTTTTACTTCGCCGCGGAACAGTCTTCGTTGCGTAAGATCGCTCGGAGCTGTCAGCGATCGTTAAATAAACGCGCATTAAGGAGCTCGGGGATATTGTCACGAGACAGAGCCTGTCTTCATCGCTTCGCGGTCGTTTGGAGCTATTAGTGAAATAATTGAAGATGTCGGGCACAGTTGATCTCGCGCACTCTCCTCGAATCTCCTTCCTTTTCTAAGAAAGGAAGGGAGCGCAAAAATTAATCGCAACAATTCCCTCTGCGGAAAACTTGCGTGAATTTCATTTCTCCGAATATTGTGTTAATATTGTGTTAATATTCTTCAATATCAACATGAGTATTGAAAGACAGTCGAAGATTGCATCATTTTACTATGTCGCGGTCACAAGTATACTAAAAGGACAGCAACACTTTTCAATTTGATGGATTTTAGAACGGGAAAAAATTGTCTGACCGTTATGGCGATCCTTTTATCTCTTCCAAGGCGCATCGTAAAGAAACACATTGCAGTCAACTACCTTGCCATCGACTACTTATGTATATTTGTGAGCCTCCGAAAATAATGAACATATCTCCGAATTTTCTTGAAAAAAAAACTAAATTATTACACCGAGCCTAGAAATCGCCTCGGCGCTTAGCCGATTGCGAATAACTGGTTAAGAAAGTAACAGTGTGTGTTACTTTAGCTATTTTCAGTTAGCGATTTTGCAACAGCAATGAGTAATTGCAAAGGAATCGGTCTTGCAATCGCTCGTATGTGTAAGATAGCCTGAATTCTTGGTGCTCCGCGATATTAAGGGTAGAATGAGATACACTGCTGCGTGAAGACAGCTGCTAGATAGGAGAACCAGGAAGGCATGTGGTCCGTCCAAAGCCGGGCCGAGTTTTCTTCCAAGTGTTCGTGCGGCTGATGGCGGACTCGAGCGAGTTTTGGAAGGAGCGTAAATAATATGCAACGTGATTTCTATTTCGCGTTGGTCACGCGTAACGATGAGCGAGGCGAGCGTTTCCTTCGGCATAATTTCGCACTTCCTCTTTAGCGAGATTTGCCCTTAACGCGACGCACACGTAATCGACGATTATTTTTGTCGGGATAATTCGTTCGCGCATTCTACATTTTGCAGAATATTACATGAATCTGTAGAAGATACGTGAATTGGAATATAAGATAACATAATGTCGCGAAAATTCATGGAAGTTTCAAGTTTAGAGTACAGACTTCTATACAGGAGGGTGTCAGACAATTCATGACACATGAAATTTCGGAGAGGCACATATATCGGTTATTCTGCTCTAATTGATCAATTTGGAAGCTAAAGCTCATAATATTATGGGGCGATTTTTCAATAACAATTTAAACTTGAATTCAAGTTTAAATTCTATTCTAATGCGTTTATTTTGTTTAAACAGAGTTTAAGTTGAAATCTAAGTTTAAACTATTATTATGAAAAATCGGTCCTATGAGTTTTTTCTTCTATTTCGTGCACACTATACACTCATTGCCTTCACGAAATATGACGGCAGGATTCATCTCTGCATTATCATATTTTAGTATGTCTGATAGGAATTTACGTATTATATAAAGATCTGTGGTTCACAAATATTCACAGGTAGCCGGTGACGAAAAGGTTGCAGTAAATTTCTTTCCGATGAGTCTTCTTTTCTGAAAAAATGACAATAGAATGCTCAAATTTTAATAATTTTTCCCCAGTCTGGAATCCACGAAAAAACGTTGCAACCTTCTTATAGACTCCTATACCTAACCGTGATGTACCGTAAAATTCCACGAAAGATCCCGAGTCCGATTTTTCACGCCGTAGGAGAACCTAGGACACATCTTCCAAGCATAACCGTAAGATAAGGTCGTTAAACATATGATACGTTCTGTATCGCGTAACGCAAACAGCGCGTGCTCTATCAAGCGTATACAGTTTCGTATACTGGATGCACTTCTTGTGCAAACTTGTGGGGTATCAATGTATTATGGATACGGAGTTCGATAAGACGCTTTCCTGCGATATAGCGGCCAAGCCCGATGCAATTAGCCACCACCGAATGCATTAAGTTTTTGTCGCGTCGCAAGTTACAAAGTCCTTGAATATTGGCGGCGCATTTGTTGTATCTAACGCGTTTCTAACGCGAGAACTTGCCACGGGCGAACAGCTGTTTTCGAGAACCGTGATTACTTGTGCTTTTTACCTCTTCTTCCTGAAGAACGCGCGTGTATAACTTCTGCAACTTCGCTGCGATATACGGATATCCTAATTCACCCCGAGAACGTTACGGTGCACGTAAGCGCATATATCTCCGAGCCATTCCCCAATCGCCCTCGATGCATGCAAGCCGGTGCACGTGCCCCGATCTCGCTCGCGGGCAGACAGCTTCCATCTCGAAGGGCGAGAAAAAAATAAAAGAAGGAAGCCGATGCTGGACCAAGGAGCGGCGCGTCGTTCGGAAGAGAGCACGCGGTTCTTTCGGAGCGGCAGCTGAGAGAGCCGAAAAAGAACGAGGAGCTGAAACAAAGCGGGAGTAACATCACGAATGAGATGAAAGACGAAGATGAGAGAACAGAGGAGGAGAGGACGGGTGATGCCTGGAATAATCGAGCCATATTTTACAGACGTTTAATCTAAAGGGGGACATTCGGCTGGAAAGTGCGCGATATAATATTGTAATATAGCCGAGTAGTCGTGTCGAGTCTTATTGGGAATATGGCGGGGCAATATTTATAATACTCGCTTCTCCTCTCTCGGTAATTAAACGAGAAAGGCGAAGGCGCGCTGTAAAACGCTCGAGGAGGAACGCAACAAGTTGGCACACGAGGTGCACGCGCAACGGAGACGATCGATCGAGGTCGTAAGACGACGGCGAAGGAGACATTACGTCGTCATAATGAACAATTGTACCGGATGTTGTACAACTTCGTCGAGAAGAACACGGCGTGGAGGGTGATCGTGCGCCACAAATGCTGCTCCTCAATAATTGAGAAGGAAAGGTGGAGCGTGCTAAAACGCTCGGAGGAATGCAAGAAGTTGGCACGAGGGCAACAGGATGCAGGAGATCGAAGCCGGTCGATAGAGGGTGGCGAAGGGGGCGAAAAGAGGGAAGGATGAAAAAAGGGGAGCGTGGCAGGATGGTAACGAGAGGAGGAGGCGACAGAAAAACCAGCGAAGAGGCAGCGGAGTCGGACGGAGGTGGAGGAGATGAGACGGAGCGACAGAGAGACGTAGGAGACTGCGGAGCGGAGAAGAGGAGCCAAGGAGCCGGGCAGAAGGACGAAGAGGAGAAGAAGGAGGTAGAAAGAGAGTGGGGGAGGCAGAAAGAGGCACGCGTAATTGGCAGGCGAGGGAGAACCTCGGAAGGTGAGCACCTGCTTCGTACCGAGTCCCGCGGCGGTCCACCGCCTCGCAGCTGCCGCAGATGTTCCCCGTGGACCAAAAAAGATCGCGCGGAAAAAGGAGCGAGCCGGGCGCCGAACGACGTGGATAATGAATACCTATGCATGCCGAGGTGGGACAAGTTTCACGGCACGGCACGGTACGATCGAGAGGAGATCGGCCCCGTGAAGGAGGACACGCCGCGAGACACGATCCGAAGAGCGCACGCGTGAGCCTCGCCTGTCGAGCAGATGTTCCCGCCGTTGTGTTTCAACGAAGATCATTGTCCGTTCTTCTTCTCCGCCCGCAGTTTCTTCGGCTCTCCTCCTCGCTCGTCGCGTCCTTCGTCGCCTTCGTTTCCTCGTGCCAAATTTGGTTTTGCCGTGCGTCGGAACGGTGGCACCTTCTGGAGGACGGCACCTCGGTGATAGGTGGAATACCATTTCGAAGTCTGTCACGTAATGATAAAATCGAGTTACTCGCTAAAACTACTCGATTAAAGCTGAAGATTTAGTCTCTTTAGAGACTGGTTGAACGGGTCTTGCAGTTTATCAACGGTATTGATTTCGGTGGCGCGTCTTCTATCTGTCTCGTCACGTCTTCTATCTTGCATGACATTCGTCCGGTCACCCTCCAACCGCCATATGACCGCACAAAGAGGTAACAAGTGCGCGATATGTACCGAAATAATAATCGAACAATACTCTAGTTAACCGGACGACCAACGGGGCCCTTCCCGAGATGTCTCAGGGGAGCACCGTCGAGCTCGGTACAGAAAAAAAAGCCGGGGCGTGAGATCGAGAGAGAGAAAGAGAGAGCAACGTCGAAGAGTGCACTTGCATCTGTTGCAACTCCGGATAACGGCGGCGGGTGTAAAACACGCGTCGCATCGTTCTCTGGGAGAAGCGAGGCAAGGGGGTGAACCGGCGGAGTGGAATCGTGGGGAATCCGAGGGGTTGATTTCGGCACCCCTATTCTCGTTCTTATCCGGGATCGTTCTCGATGCCAACTGCGCGCGCGCGCGTACGTGCGCTAAGGTAATAAATATAAAAACCGCCCGATAAACCCCAAAGTGTGAGCCAAGCTGGGTCGCGGTGGCAGGGAGTGTGAGAAAGGTGGTGGAAGCGGGAGCCGCGAGTTTAACTGTCCGTGAAGAATTTACTGTCACCTCTTCATTACGTGCACTTACAGGATTCTTCCATTACCGCGTCGGCAGGGGAGTGATTTTTTTTCTCGACCGAGAATGATAAAAAGGGTGACGTGATACGCTTTTTCCTCTGTTGCTTTTTTTTAAGAATCATCCCGTTTACGCATCGAGATACAATCCTGCGCCTATGTCACCTTCAGGCAAACTGGGCGCGTCTCTGGGACTGGGGGGATTTTCAAGGGGGAAATGCAATAGAGATAAGCAACAACGTCACTGTCAATACCGCGTATAAAGATCGTTCTATCTAAGTTTCATTTCCATTGTAGAGCAGAGTCTGCTCTGTAGCGATAGAATCGGTTCCTTCTTTTTTATGTTTCTTCATTTGCGAATTATAGGAAGCCTTAAACAGTATTATGCCTGGGGACCAAACTTCC